AGGAGGAGGAGGAGAAGGAGGAGGAGGAGGAGGAGGAGGAGAGGTAGGAGGAGTAGGGGGATGAGAAGGAGGAGGAGGAGGGCGGCGGCGGCGGACACAGACCAAGGCCACGACCACGAGGACGAATACGACGGCAACCACGACCACGACCACGACCACGACAACGACGACGAGCACAGCGACATACCGGTGGCGCTCGGGGGCGCCCAGCGGGTCCCCGCCGCCTGGCACGGGCCTTGGGCCGCGGTGGCCGGCTCGCCCGTGGGCACAGAGGCGTCGTCGCCGTGACGTCGTCGTCGTCGCCGTGGCCGTCGCAGTCGCTGGCGCAGTCGCAGTCGCCGCCGCCGCCGCCGCCGCCGCCGCCGCCGCCGCCGCCATCGCGCCGTCATCGTCGCCGTCGTCGTCGTCGTCGTCGTCGTCGTCGTCGTCGTCGTCGTCGTCGCCGTTGTCGTCGCCGCCGCCGTCGCCGTCGCCGTCGCCATCGCCGTCGCCGTCGCCGTCGCCGTCGCCATCGCCGTCGCCGTCGCCGTCGCCGTCGCCGTCGCCGTCGCCGTCGCCGTCGTCGTCGTCGTCGTCGTCGTCGTCGTCGTCGTCGTCGTCGTCGTCGTCTTCTTTGTTGTCTCGTCTCGTAAGGTCTCGGCGGATTTCGGTTTTTTTTTCGGCCGATTTCACGGGTCATCGGGGGCTCTCTGAGTGGTTTCGCAGGCTTCTTGAAGTCGTCATCGCCGTCTTGGTCGTCCCACATTCGGTGGGTCACCCTAAGTCTTACGGGCAAGCAGGCCCAGGAACTAACCTTACATCGGGCATGTCCCTCCCAACGAGGAATATTCCCAAATAGTAGAAAACAGTTTGGGAACGATCTTTCGATTAGTTCTGGCTGTTTCGGCATATTTTTGACCATTTTGGATTTCCCTTCAAAGTTCCGCCGGTAGGAGGACATGCCCGACCTAAAGCTGACCAACAATACCCTCCAGAGGCTGGCAACAAATTCGAACCATCGCCTCGCCCCCCTGGGGCCACGGCTCAGCGCTCGAGCTCGCCCGTGGCAAGCTCTGCTCGTGCAGCGGCCGTGGCTCCGCCTGGATCGCCGCTCGGCCTCGCGCCTGGGGTGCCCAGGCGCTCCGTGGGGTGGTCTGGCGGCCACACGAGGGAGAAGGAAGAGCCGAACGGCAGGAGCAAAACGATAGCCTCCTCGTCCTCCTCGTCCTCGTCCTCCTCCTCCTCCTCCTCCTCCTCCTCCTCCTCCTCCTCCTCCTCCTCCTCCTCTCCTCTCTCTCCTCTCTCTTCCTCCTCTCTCTCCTCTCTCTCCTCTCTCCTCTCTCCTCCTCCTCCTCCTCCTCCTCCTCCTCATCCTCCTCCTCCTCCTCCTCCTCCTCCTCCTCCTCCTCCTCCTCTCTTCTCTCCTCTCTCCTCCTCTCTTTCTCCTCCTCCTCCTCCTCCTCCTCCTCCTCCTCCTCCTTCTCTTTCTCCTCCTTTTGTATCCCTCCTCCTCTGCCCTTCTCATCTGCGATTCCCTGCCCCCCGCGGAGGGCCCGGCTCGGCCGCTCCCGGGCCCCTGGGGAGCCCACGCCGCGCAGAGGCGCGAAGACGGCCGGGCGCTCAGGGCTCTCGCCCTGCTCCTGGCGGGGGGGTGGGGGAGGGGGAGGAGGAGAGGAGGAGGAGGAGGAGGAGGAGGAGGAGGAGGAGGAGGATGATGAGGAGGAGGAGGAGGAGGAGAGAGAGGAGGAGGGGAGGAGAGGAGGAGGAGGAGGAGGATGACTCCTCCTCCTCCTCTCCTCCTCCTCCTTCTCCTCCATCTCCTCCTCCTCCTCCTCCTCCTCCTCCTCGTCCCCCTCCTCTCGTAGGCGCAGGGAGCAGCCCGTCCTGCCGCCCTCTTCCTCCTCCTTCTTCTCTTCCTCCTCATCCTCCCCCTCCTCCTCCTTCTCATTCTCCTTCTCCTCCATTTCTTTTCCTTCTAAGTACTTCTCCCTGTTTCAACCCGAGGCCAGGTTTTAGGGCGGGCAGGGCGTTTCGCCTGAAACTACTTAATCGTTTATGACCTGAAGCTTACCAATTGGCAACAGTTTCACAGATGGGGGGCGGGTGGTTTTCAAACTGTGGCTCTCGCCTTAGCGCCGCGCACATTCTTTTTCAACGTTTGCCAGAGTTCCACGGATTGAGGGGAACTCGTTTTCAAAATGTGGCTCCCGCTTTGCGCCGCGCACATTCGTTTTCACCGTTGTTAGAGTTCCACGGATTGAGGGCGACCCGTTTTCAAAATGTGGCTCTCTCGCCTTAGCGCCGCGTGTATTCGTTTTATTCCCTACCTATGCTCTGCCTAGAAGGGTTCTTACTCTCTGGGCTTAAAAGGGGGCCGGGCAGTGGAAAGCGCCCCGGGCGGTTCCCCCAGTATCCGCCCCGCGGTTCCCCCAGTTGCGCCCCCTGGGTTCACCCAGCTTAGCTTAGCTAAGCTTAGCTAAGCTTAGCATAGCTTAACTTTAGCTTAGCTTAGCTTAGCTTAGCTTAGCTTAGCTTAGCTTAGCTTAGCTTTGCTTTGCTTTGCCTAGCCTAGCTTAGTTTAGCTTAGCTTAGCTTAGCTTAGCTCAGCTTAGCTTAGCTTAGCTTAGCTTTGCCTAGCCCAACTTAGCTTAGCTTAGCTTAGCTTAGCTTAGCTTCGCTTCGCTTAGCTTAGCTTAGCTTAGCTTAGCTTAGCTTAGCTTAGCGGAGCTGAGCTTAGCTTAGCTTAGCTTAGCTTACCCCATCTTAGCTTAGCTTAGCTTAGCTTAGCTTAGCTGTTGCTTTCCTGAATGCTCCAACTCCTAGGTAGGGTCGCACTGGGATAATACATTGCAGCAGTTTCGTGGATTTAGGGCGACCCGCCGCACATTCATTGTGAATGTTGGCACGAGTTTCGCAGGGCACGAGTAGCTTGGGACACGTTATACAGAGGTGATGACGTGACATGGGCGCAGATCATTCTGCGAGCGGCATTCGCGAGGCTCGCAGCCCCCCAGGGATGGCGAGGTCCCGCTTAGATCTGCGTGGTGCCTCACTCCGCTGGACCCACCAGCAGCCCTCGAACGTGGCGACAGTTTCGCAGATCGCAGCCCCCAAGGACGGCGAGGTCTCGCTCAGATCTGCACAGTGCCTCACTCCGCTGGACCCACCAGCAGCCCTCGAACGTGGCGGCAGTTTCGCAGATCGCAGCCCCCCCCAAGGACGGCGAGGTCACGCTCAGATCTGCGCGGTGCCTCACTCCGCTGGGCCCACCAGCAGCTGTCGAACGTGGCGACAGGGACGGCGAGGTCTCGCTCAGATCTGCGCGGTGCTCCACCCCGCTGGACCCACCAGCAGCCCTCGAAGGTGGCGACGGTTTCGCAGATCGCAGCCCCCTCCCCCAGGGACGGCGAGGTTTCCCCCACTCCGCTGAACCCACCAGCAATCCTCCAAAGTGGCGACAGTTTCGCAGATCGCAGCTCCCCCAGGGACGGCGCGGTCTCGCTCAGATCTGCGCGGTGCCTCACTCCGCTGGACCCACCAGCAGCCCTCGCACGTGGCGACGGTTTCGCAGATCGCAGCCCCCAGGGACGGCGAGGTCTCGCTCAGATCTGCGCGGTGCCTCACTCCGCTGGGCCCACCAGCAGCCTTCGAATGTGGCGACGGTTTCGCAGATCGCAGCCCCCCTCCCCTCAGGGACGGCGAGGTCTCGCTCAGATCTGCGCGGTGCCTCACTCCGCTGGACCCACCAGCAGCCCTCGAACGTGGCGACAGTTTCGCAGATCGCAGCCCCCAGGGACGGCGAGGTCTCGCTCAGATCTGCGCGGTGCTCCACTCCGCTGGACCCACCAGCAGCCCTCGAAGGTGGCGACGGTTTCGCAGATTGCAGCCCCCCCAAGGACGGCGAGGTCACGCTCAGATCTGCGCGGTGCCTCACTCCGCTGGGCCCACCAGCAGCTGTCGAACGTGGCGACGGTTTCGCAGATCGCAGCTCCCCCCAGGGACGGCGAGGTCTCGCTCAGATCTGCGCGGTGGCTCACTCCGCTGGACCCACCAGCAGCCCTCGAACGTGGCGACGGTTTCGCAGATCGCAGCCCCCAGGGACGGCGAGGTCTCGCTCAGATCTGCGCGGTGCCCCACTCCGCTGGACCCACCAGCAGCCCTCGAAGGTGGCAACGGTTTCGCAGATCGCAGCCCCCCGAAGGGACGGCGAGGTCTCGCTCAGGTCTGCGCGGTGCCTCACTCCGCTGGACCCACCAGCAGCCTTCGAAAGTGGCGATAGTTTCGCAGATCGCAGCCCCCTCCTCCAGGGACGGCGAGGTCTCGCTCAGATCTGCGCGGTGGCTCACTCCGCTGGACCCACCAGCAGCCCTCGAATGTGGCGACGGTTTCGCAGATCGCAGCCCCCCCCCCAGGGACGGCGAGGTCTCGCTCAGATCTGCGCGGTGCCCCACTCCGCTGGACCCATCAGCAGCCCTCGAACGTGGCCACAGTTTCGCAGCCCCCCCCAGGGACGGCGAGGTCTCGCTCAGATCTGCGCGGTGCCTCACTCCGCTGAACCCACCAGCAAATTCTTAGAACGTGGCGACAGTTTCGCAGATCGCAGTCCCCTAGGGACGGCGAGGTCTCGCTCAGATCTGCGCGGTGCCTCACTCTGCTGGACCCACCAGCAGCCCTCGAAGGTGGCCACAGTTTCGCAGATCGGAGCCCCCCCCCGCCAAGGACGGCGAGGTTTTGCTGGAGACAGGGGGCGGGAGGCAGGAGGCGGGAGGAAGGAAGGAAGGATGGACGCGCGAGCAGTGCTCTATTCAAAACGAGTGCCCAACCAAGGAGGGTCGGGGGGGGGAACAAACTTGCAATAATTTCCCGGATTCCCATGATCAAAGTACAAGAATGGTGTTTTGGAAGGATTCAGTTACGTTGCTTCGCGGCGCTGAAGTCCCAACAATGACGTTCTGGCGCGATTCCTGATCGTCCAGACGCAACAATCAGCTTGATCCGTGGCGTTAGAATCCCGAGAACAATGTTTTGGCATGCTTCTGGGTCTTCAAACGGTTGTCTTCCAACGAGGCAGTTCCCTCTGTGGAAATGAACCGTTGTAGGGGCCTATGAAAAGGGGGCTTGGAAGGAGGCTTTATTCAAATATCGTTGATGACTCTTTCTTTTACACTGGTCCTCCTCCTCCTCCTCCTCCTCCTCCTCCTGAGGTGTGTGGGGGGGGGGAAGGCGCGCGAAGGCGCGGAGATGACCTGCGAGAGCGCGCACACATGGGCTACCGGGTCCATTTCGATCCGATCGATCCGATCGGGTGTCGGCTCCGGCTGGCGCGATCGATGCTCGCATCGCGCCGTTGTGCATCCCGGCGCCGCCGACTCGATTCGAGTCCGACTCTGCCGCTGCGGCCCGATCCGATGCAAGTTCCGACCCGACCTGATTTTCTGATTCGATGTTCCTCCTCCTCCTCCTCCTCCTCCCTCCTCCTCCTCCTCCCCTTCTCCTCCCCCCTCCTCCTCCTCCTCCTCCTCCTCCTCCTCCTCCTCCTCCTCCTCCTCCTCCTCTTCCTCCTCTCCCTCCTTCTTCACCTCCTTCTCCTCCACCTTCCTCTCCTCCTTCTCCTCCCTCTCCTCCTTCTCCTTCTCCTGATTCGATGTTGATTGTTCCCAGAGCCGGGTGCGTGGATGGGCGCCGGGTCCCGTTGCCATGCGAGATCGACGCGCTGCGTCGCCAGACAGATCAGGCGGCCTCGGCTGGCGCCACCGTTCTGAGGGCTCCTTTCTCCGATCCCGCGGCTCCGGCGTCCACGGCGCCAGGACCACGGATGCGCAAGCCCATGCCAGCGTGCGCCCGAAGGCAGCGCTCTGCGGAGCGAGAGGCCTCGGGCGACCCTGGGCTGGCCACCACGCGCGGGGCTTCTTCTTCTTCTTCCTCCTCTCCTCCTCCTCCTCCTCCTCCTCCTCCTCCTCTCATCCTCCTCCTTGTCCTCATCCTCCTCCTTTGCCTCCTCTCCCTCCCTCCTCTCCCCCCCCTGGCGTTGCCCCTGGCGTTGCCCCTCGGCGCACTACTTCACTCGATGAGTTATTTGCGATCTCGCCTTGATTGTGTTTCTTGGTTGGACCTCCTCGTCCTCCTCTGCCTCCTCTTCCTCCTCTTCCTCATTCTTCCTCCTCCTCTTCCTCCTGTGTCCCCCTACCCGAGTCTGAGGACACTGCAGGTTTCATAGTTCACCGTACGTCCACGATCGTTTGGCAAGGGTTATGAGAGCAAGAGTGACCTTCTAGATTCGCCATCTCTTGCATGACAGTCCGTATGTGTGGCTGGACGCTTTAATTACGCTCGCATGCACGCAATTGGCGGTAGCTCAGTGGCTTCATGCCTGCGTCGCTGTGTTTTTCATCGTGCTGCTGTATCCGCTCCCCCTCCTCCCCTCCGATCTCCAACAGCAGAAATATAGAGTCGGACCGATAGGATCAAGGTGGACCTCGCATAGGGCGCGAGGGGGGCGCGAGAGCGCCCCCCCCACTGGCGGAGGCGATCGCAGGCGCGGCGGGCGTGGCGGTGCAGCTCAAGGCGCGCGGGCCGCCGTTGCCGCCGCCGCCGCCGTCGCCGCCGCCGCCGCCGCGGTCGTCGTCGTCGTCGTCGTCGTCGTCGTCGTCGTCGTCGTCGTCGTCGTCGTCGTCGTCTGCTTCGTCGTCAAGGCTCTTCCTCCGGCGAGGAGGGCGAAAAGAGAGGGCTAACGGTACGGTTGAGGAGGCGGGGGGGATATGCTCAGGGCAGTGAGGAGGGAGGAGGAGGAGGAGGAGGAGCAGTGATGCGCAGGGAGGGAGGGAGGGAGGGAGGAGGAGGGAGGAGGAGGAGTAGGAGTAGGAGTAGGAGTAGGAGTAGGAGGAGGAGGAGGAAGGAGGAGGAGGAGAGGAGGAGGAAGGAGGAGGAGGAGGAGGAGGAGGAGGGGGAGGTGGAGTGCGAGAGGGAAGCGATGGGGGCGCCTCGTGCTCTGCCCCTCTCCTCCCCCTGGCCCTTTCACCATTCCCTTTCCCATTTCCCTCCCCCCCCCTCTCCTCCTCCTCCTCCTCCTCCTCCTCGTCCTCCTCCTCCTCCTCCTCCTCCTCCTACCTCCTACTCCTCTTCTCCTGCGGATCCAGGGGGGCCAATTCCTTGGCCATTCGGGCTCCTCTGAGGCCACGGTTCGCCCGAGAGGAGGGTACTAGTACTGTCGGGCGCGAAGCCAGCATTCGTGGAGGCTCGCTGGCCCCAGTGTGGTCAGCGGCGGATTCTAGCGAATCCGCCCCTCTCCTTCTCTTCCCCTCGCCTCCCCTTCCAGCGCCTCGGCTTCCTTCTACCCAACATGAATATTCTCCGCTCTCCCCTGATGACGTCTGGAAGATATTCGCCCCCCCTCCGCGTACCGTTTTTTCACAGGATTCCATTTTTGGTTGCTTTGTTTTTGGTTGTTTCTCAAAATGTTGTTCCCGCTGAAGCGCTGGCCTTCGGGCTTCCGCTCGTTCCGAATCGTGCTCCCGCTGCAGCGCTGGCCTTATTTCCGTGCTTCTGCTTGTTCCGAATCGTGTTTTCGCTGCAGCGCTGGCCTCATTTCCGCGCTTCCGCTCGTTCCGAATCGTGCTCCCGCTGCAGCGCTGGTGTCATTATTTCCAGTGCCATGCCACGGCATGCAATGCAATGCTATGTGGAGTTCCGCTGTGCGATGCCATGCCTTCAGCTGCAATTCTAGGATACACAGCGCTTGACCACGCATTGCCACGCCATGCTATGCCATGCTACGCTTCGATCTTCAACGCTATTCTATACCATGTTCTGTTCCGTGCCTCCGTGCGATGCCATTTTTTTGCGTTGCGATGCTTTGTGATGCAATTCTTCATTACGCAGCGCCACGCCATGCTATGACATACTACGCTCTGCCGTGCTCTTCTACGCCCCGCGATGCCTTGCTCTACGATGCATCGCGCACCCTCTCGGGATCATTGCCCTGCTCGACATCCGACTGTGCGAGTAGATTTGAACTCTACGCCATAGTAAGGGATGGGAGGGAGGAGTAGGACGTTAGATATGATGCGAGCGCAGCTAGCTTGCCCTCCCCCCCTCCCCCTCTTCCCCTTCCGTCCTCTTTCCTCCTCCCTCCCCCCTCCCCCCCGACCCCCCTGGTGGGACTTTGGGGCCTGAGGGGGACGGAGGGGGGAAGGGACAGTGTCCAGGTTGAGGGAGGACGCGAAGGGGGAAGAGAGGAGTGAGGAGGAGAACGGGATCGAAGGAGGGAGGAAGGAGGATGGAGAACGAGGAAGAGAAATGATGCTGAAAATGATGATGATGATGATGATGATGATGATGATGATGATGATGATGATGATGATGATGATGATGATGATGATGCTGATGATGATGATGATGATGATGAGGATGATGATGATGATGATGATGCTGATGATCATGATGATGCTGCTGCTGATGATGATGGTTATGATGATGATGATGCTGCTGCTGATGATGATGACGATTATGATGCTGACGACTGTAATTCTGATGCTGATGGTGGTGATGATGATGAAATTGAGGATGATGAGGTTGAGGCTGCTGCTGATGATGAGGATGAGGATGTGGATGCTGATGGTGACGATGACAATGCGAGTATGACTACGATGATGATGCTGATGCTGATGATGCTCATGACGCTGATGATGTTGCTGCTGCTGATGATGACGTTGACGATGGCGGTGATGAGGATGATGCTGCTGCTGACGCTGATGTTGAGGATGCTGATTATTATGGAGATGATGCTGCTGATGCTGCTGAATATGATTGTGATGCTGATGCTGATGATGCTGACGATGCTGCTGCTGACGATGATAATGCTGATGCTGATGATGCTGACGATGATGATGCTGATGATGATGGCGACCATGCTTATGATGACGATGCTGATGCTGATGATGCTGATGCTGCTGATGATGCTGCTGATGATGATGATGATGATGCTGATGCTGCTGCTGCTGATGATGCTGACGCTGATGGTGATGCAGATGCTAATTCTGCTGGTGATGATGCTGATGATGATGGTGCTGATGATGATGCTGATGGCGGTGCTGATGCTGATGATGCTGATGATGCTGCCGCTGACGATGCTGCTGATGCTGCTAATGATGATGATGATGCTGATGCTGATGATGCTGATGCTGATGCTGAGGATCATGCTGCTGCTGATGATGATGACGATGATGATGACGATGATGGTGGTGCTGATGCTGAGGATGATGATACGGATGAGTATGATGGTTACGCTGATGATGCTGATGATGAAGCTGATGGTCATGCTTATGATGACGATGATGAGGATGTGGATGATGATGCTGCTGCTGATGATGGTGATGATTCTGATTCTTATGATGATGGTGATGGTGATGATGCTGATGCTGCTGCTGCTGATGATGATGATGATACTGCTGCTGATGATGATGATGATGACGCTGCTGTTGCTGCTGCTGCTGCTGATGATGATGATGATGCTGATGCTGATCATACTGATGATGATGCTGCTGCTGTCGCTGATAATGCTGATGATGGTCAAGAGTAAGAGGATGAGGAGCAGGAGGCGGAGGAGGAGGATAAGGAGGAGGCGGAGGAAGAGGAGGCGGAGGAGGAGGCATACTTATGATATTAATGGATGTAGCAATATGAATAATAATGCCAATAATACTATTACCATTCGAAATCATAGTAATACGAGAAGTATTATTACGAATCATGTTTAGAATCAGAGTAATAATACGAACAAGACATAAGGAGAGTACCAAGAAGAAGAGGAGGAAGAATGGAAAAGGACGATGAGGAGGAAGGATGGGCCAGGATGAGGATGAAGAGGAGGAGGAGGAGGAGGAGAAATGAGAAGGGAAGGAGGAGGAGGAGGAAGGAGGGGCAGGATGATGCTGATGATGATGAGGAGGAGGAGGAGGAGGAGGAGGAGGAGAAGGAGGAAGGGAAGGAGGAGAGAGGAGGAGGAGGAGGAGGAGGGGAGGAGGAGGAGGAGGAATAGGAGGAGGAGGAGGAGGAGGAGGAGGAGGAACGGGGGAGGAGGCGGAGGAGGAGGAGGAGGAGGGGAGGAGAGGAAGGATGAACGATGAAGGAGGAAGGAGGAGGGGAGGACGGAGGATGGAGGATGAGAAAGCAGGGCGGAGAAAGGGGGGGGGGGGAAAGGAGGAGGAGGAGGAGGAGGAAGAGGAGGAGGAGGAGGGGGAGGAGGACGAGGAGGAGGAGGACGAGGATGCGGAGGAGGAGGAGGAGGAGGAGGAGGAGGAGGAGGAGGAGGAGGAGGGGAGGAGGACGAGGAGGAGGAGGAGAAGGAGGAGTAGGATGAGGGGGGGGGGAGGAGGGGAGGGCTCGTGGGCTTTACATATTGTTATCAATCGACTCTGCACGGGCAATGTGACAGGCGAGGTGCAGTGGGCTGGTCGCTCGGGTTGCGTCGACTTCGCTGTTTGCCCAACCTCGTCCTCGAGGGCTTCGCTGGGGTTTATTTGCAGAACTGCTTGAGTGGCAGAATTCGATAGACGACGCAGTGTATCCCGCTGGGCTGGGCCAGAAACCAAATTCGCTTATTTCGTCAGTGGATTTCAATGCCAAAGGCAATGTCCCATTCGGGCAGGGGTCATCCGCTGATCGTGACAAGTGGGAGGACGTTGAGACGCGAACCACCAAAATGTGTTGTTCCAGCGCCATCCGCTCGGAGACCCCGTTGATCTCGCATGTCCCCGGGGATACCTTGATCGACCACTGTTTCGTGTCGTGCGACTTCGGCGTCCAAGCTCGCTTGAGCTGAGAGGGCAGTCCCGGAGATCACAGTTGTGTAATTGCTCAGCTTCCCGCCGGCATGGAGCTCCGGAAGAGCCGTTTCAACACGTGGAGGTGCAACGACATTGAGGCCTGCGAGCGGGACTTGGAGACCACCCAGATTGATGAGCTCAGGAGTATCAAGGAGATCATCGATCTGGTAAAGGAGAAGACGGAGAGCCACCAGTCCACGGAGACCGCTCGGGACCAGAGGCGAAGGCGGGAACCACTAGCTCAAGGACATGCGCCGGCGTAGAAGGGTATGCTTGGACCCTGCCATAGCATGACGTTGCGACGGTTGGCGTTTGAATTGAGGAGGGTATGGCTGCAAGGGATCCGGGACGCAGAGTCCGCAGAGGCTCACCGTACTCGACGTTCATCTGGGAAGCGGAGGAAGTCCAACCTTGTCAACATCAGCCGCGTGAACATCAATCGGAGAGCCACGGTGGACAGAACAGAGCGGGCTCAAGCGTGTAAGGAGGAGTTCGAGACGCGACGGCAGGAGACATCTACTGACAACGTGGGAGCATGGCAGTCGGTGGATGTACAGCGTAGAGTCGACGATGCAGATGCGACGGTGCCCCTTCGACTTCTCAGCCGGCCTGTTCAGCTGCTCTCGGTGGAGGGCGAATCCATTGGCCCGGTGAGGAAAGAGCGTGGGCTTTGGACTGGTGCCCCGTCTGCTGGTTTGATAGCACGCTGGCCGGTGGAATCGGCTTTCCTTCATTTTGCTGGCGAGTTGGCCGGAGATGCTTGGGAGGCTGAGCCTGGAGTTTTTCTCCTTCCCATGGCGTGTTCAGATAATATGATTGCTTGTGGGGTCAGGGCGGACTAGTCTATCCAGCAGTTAGTGCATGTGGAGGAGGCACTGAACATCGACGTGCTCAAGATCAAGCCGCCCAGTTGGGAATTACTCCGGGAGTCGCAGACGGACCGTGGCGATTCCAAGGTGACGATCCAAAGTGCGGAGTGGAAGCTTAAAGATGATGTGTTGCTTCTCGGGCAGACTTTGCCATGCACGGGGCGCACTTCCAAATGCCGGGACGTGGCTCCAGGGGATATTCCATTCAAGCTCGAGTCTTCTGCAGAAACAGGAGCTCTCGGTGGCTGAGCGGTGCAAGTTCTGGCAGGGGGTCTCCAATAGCCTGATGACCTGATTTGGCTCAAGCCGTCTCCTGCTCAAGCCGTCTCCTGCTCCTGCCTCTCCCACTTTATTTCCATCTGTTTCATTCCACCCTTCAGAGAGCTCGGCATGGGCCAGCAGGGCAGCTAATGTATCTCGTGCAGGTTGCGGCGTAATGTCACGCCTCACTTGCTTCTTCACGTACGTGGCGCTGCTGCTCCCTGTGGCGGCCTACGCGGACTCGTGCCTAATTGGGGAGGTCAGGGAAGGAGGTTGTAGGACATTGCAGCTTTCTTCAGAGCCGAGAAAAGAGTGCATGACATCAGGCACGACAGTGCAGCAGAACTGCGAGGGGTCTCCCTGGCGCTGGGCCCGCGCGTCTTCGGCCATCCTGGAGGTATTTCCCCCAGCGCCGATCCCCCCAGAAGCATTGCGAATATTTTGGCATGTTCGAGGCCGTTCGGAGGTGCTCGCGATCATCCTTTACTTAGTGATCGAGACGTTAGGCGCTTTGGAGGAGGATGGAGGTGATCGAGCTTCAGAGGGAGTCGAGAACACGTCGCCCTGCAACTTCCTGGGGCTCCTCATGTTGTTGCGCTTAGCAGGGTGCCTCTTTTGGGTCTTCGCGGTGATTGTCGCCCTCAATGCCGACATTTTTTGGGCGATGATGATATTTCGGGAAAGCTGCCATTCCAGAGTTCCCCGGTTGCTCGAGGTCGTGAGCAATTTTGGCATGAAGTAAGGGGCGCTTTCGCCTTGCTCGTCTGCTCTCTCTCGGTCTCGGCGCTGGCGGGTGCTGCCGTCGGCGCGGTCGCCTGGATGTGGACGTCGACTCCGGCGGCTGCCGCTGCTGTGATGGCCTCGCCCGCGTTGGCCACTCCATGGAGCACGATGGACATCGACTCAACTTTGGGGTTCCCTGGGGAGGGACCTCCTGCACCAGGCGCCCCTCTGGGGGGAGAGAGGCCCAGGAGGGGCCGCAGCCGCAGTGGCGAGCAAGGACTGTCGTCACCGCCATTGGGAGACAGAGCGGGCGCTAGAAGGCGAGTCGCCAGACGACCTGGTTCTGCCCCTCCACGCCGCCAGGACCGCCCCGCGGACGACGGAGCTGCGGACCTGGAGCAGGGAGTGCGTCGGCTGAACTTTGATGACGCGATGCCTCCGGCTGTTGATCCTCCCCCGGCTCGGTGGCGCTGCCCCGTCGCAGGGTGCCCTTGCTCGGACTCGGCCAGGCACCTGGGCTGGGCCAGCTTCCAAAGCCTCAGCCGGCACCTGGGCGCCCACCTTGCAGGACAGCTCGCGGGAGAAGTGAGTTCGGAATGGTTGCGACGGCATGGCCGCACTCGTTGCCGTGTGTGTGGCCTGTGTGTGGGCGCCAACCGGGGCGTGCACCCCTCTTGCCGCCCGGCTGACCGAGCCGCTCTCCGACCAGCTGCAGCGCCCCCGCCAGCCAAAGGCGGCCCACCAGGAGCTCAAGGCGTGGGGGCGCGCCCTTCCCTGGCCGACATCCACGAGGTGGAAATCGCCGCGTTGAAGTACGTGCCCAAGCGGGCCCGGGCGGCTTGGCCCCGCACGTTCGCCCGTTGCCTCGCGAACGCTGCGACGCAGAACTCGGTGGCAGCCTGGGCGGACCTCCAGCTGGTGGCAAGGGCCGTGCTCTGCTTGCCGCCCCGTGCCGGCCGCGAGGACAAAGCTGCGCTGGCCGCCTTCGCACTCGACCGCCTCGCGCGCTGGGGCGCCGGGGAGCGCTTGACGCTCTGGCAGGAGGCGCGCGCGCGCAACGCAGGGCAGCGGCGCCGGCGGCAGGAGGCGCCGACGACTGAGCAGAGGGCAGCTCGCGCGACCGCTTGCGCTGCGGAGGACTTCTGGGGCAAGGGCTGCGCTGCTCTGACCTCTGGGGGCCTCGCCGAGCCTACGCAGGAGACAGCTCGTGCGCTGGAGCGCTTGCACCCTCCTGCGGCTGCCCTCCCGCTGGGGCACTTGGACCAACTCCTGGCCGCGCCCGAGCTCACGCCGAACTCGACGCTGCGGGCGCCGCGAGCCTTCCCGAAAGGGACGGCCCCTGGCCCCTCCGGCCTCCGAGCACAGCACCTGCTTGACGCCGTGACCCCAGCCGCCCGGGCGACGGTCACGGAGCCGCTCGCCGCGGCGTGCCAGACCCTCGCCAACGGAGAGGCCCCGCGGGAGCTGGCGCCGCACCTGGCAGGTGCGACGCTGGTGGCGTTGGAAAATGACGACGGGGGACTTCGTCCGATCGCGGTCGGCGAGGTCCTGCGCCGCTTGACCAGCAAGGTGCTCTGCGACCACGTCAAGGGTCGTGCGCGCCAGATGCTCTGGCCGCTGCAGACAGGCTGCTGCAGCCCCCTGGGGGCTGAAGCCACGGTTCACGCCGTGCGCCAGTGGTGCGAGCGAAATGCAGACGAGGACGGCAAGGTGCTGCTCAAGCTCGACTTTGCAAACGCTTTCAACTCGCTGCACCGTGACCCCGCGTTGCGCGCTGTCCGTGCCCGCTTCCCGGAGCTGGAGCGCTGGGCGCGCTGGGCTTACGCGGAGCCCTCCAATCTGTGTTTTGGCAGCCATGTGATGTCTTCGCAGGCAGGCGTACAACAGGGGGACCCGCTAGGACCCTTGATCTTCGCCCTCGCCGTGCACGCGGTGTTGGAGGAGCTTGCGGGCGCTGCAGACCTGGACCTACGCGCCTTCTACCTGGGCGACGGCTTCCTGGCGGGCTCGAGGGAGGCTGTGGCGCGAGCACTAGCGACTCTGCAGCGCCGCTGCCCTGACTTTGGCCTCCTGCTCCACCTCGGCAAGCGCGAGCTCGTAGTCCCCTGCGGACGCAGGCCGGGCGGCCTGGCAGACCTCTTCCCTGCGCCTCTCCTGGCGGACGCAGAGACGGGGGTCGACCGCGTTGTCCTCAGAGGCGGCTTCAAGCTCTTGGGAGCGCCTATTGGGGCGAAGGGCTACTGCGAGGCGTTCGCCCAGCGCCGCGCCGACAAGACGAAGCCCGCTCTGGAGGCGCTCGCCAACCTGCACCCCCAGGTGGGCCTCGCGCTCCTGCGCTACTGCGCGAGCTACGCGAAACTCGTGTGCAGCGCCCGCACGGCGCCGTCTGCCCTGCTCTCGGAAGCGTTGCGCTGCTTCGACGACGGCCAGCGGCGCGCGCTGTCGAACCTGCTGGCGGCGGACCTGACGGACGCGCAGTGGCGCCAGGCAGCCAGAGGGCTCGCCCACGCGGGGCTCGGTCTGCGGGAGCTGACAGCACACGCGCCCGGCGCTTACTTGGCCAGCCTCGCAGCCACGCGGCACCTGTGCTGCGACCTTGACCCGGCCTACGCGTGGGCACCGGACAGCGCGGCTACGCTGGAGGGGCAGGCGCTCCTGGCGTACAACGCCCTGCTGGCGCCGGCGGACGGCCTCGACCCGGTGGCGCTCGACAGGTCCACGTAGAAGCAGCTCTCTGCCGCGGTGGGCGAACGCGGGCACCGGACCTTCCTGGCGGGCTTGGGGACAGCTGACCGCGCTGACATCAATTCAGAGATGCTGCCTGGCGCGTCAGACTTCCTCGAGGCGCAGCCCAGCGAGCAGCTGGGGCTCCTTTTCGAACCCGAGGAATTCGCGTGCGAGGTCAAGCGCAGGCTCCTCATGCCCGTGTACGAGACTGAGCACTTCTGCCCCTGCTGCGGGAACGTCTGCGACCGCCGCGGCCAGCGCGCAGGATTATGCGCGGGGGCCGGGGATCGCGTCCACCGGCACAACGGGGCGAGGAACGTGGTCGGCACCTTCGCCACCAGTGCGGGCTTCAACCCGACGCTCGAGCAACCTGGCCTCCTACCGCCCCGCCCAGACGACGTCCAGGTGAATGGGCGCCGGCCTGCAGATGTCTACATTCCCTCCTGGTTCCAGGGGGCGCCTGCTGCCTTCGACTTCGCGGTGTCTTCGCCGCACAGGCAGGCTGCCCGTATCCTGGCGTTCCAGGAGGTGGGGCGCGCGGCGCAGGAGTACGAGTTGGTGAAGAGGAACCACCTCGACACAGAGCGGCAGTGCCAGCAGCAGGGGATCGTGTTCATCCCCCTCGTGGCGGAGCCCTCTGGAGGATGGGGCCCGACTGGCGCCGAGACTTTGCGCCGGCTCGCCCGGGCCAGCGATCGGAGACGAGGCGAGGGGCTGGGGGCGGGCGCGGCACGCCTGTTCCAGCGCCTGTCCGTGGCGATCCGCCGGGCGACGGCGCGAGCAGTCCTGAGGAGGCACGCGGAGCCCCCCTCGGCTGGAGGAGCTGTGGCTGCCGCGCCAAGCTGGCTGGCGGAGCTGGTGGAGGACGACGCTTAGAAAGTGTCCCGCCGTCGCTCCTTTTCTGCCCCTCCTCTCGCCGTGTCTTCCACCCGCCCATGCGCGGGCAGCTACTGAGCATTTTGATATTTTTCGTGTTTGCGCGAGTGACGATCCCTTCTGCTGTCGTCTTCGTCGTTCGTCGTCGTCGTCCGTCGTTCGTCTCTTCCGCTCCTCTCGCCTTTCCCGCTCCTCCTCCGCCGCCGGCGTCTCCTCCTCCCCTCGGGGGGCCATTCCTTGCGGTGGGTTGGTGAACGGTGCGCGCCCTGCTCCCGCTTGCGGAAGCTGGGGCGTGCGCCGATCGCCTCTCGCTGCTTTGCGTGGCCCCCTGCTCGCCCTTGTGCCCCTCGGGGCCTCCCCCGTCGTTGCTGCTTGCTGATGGATCGACGCTAGCTATCCACACTGCAATAACACACTGCTTTGGAGCCCGTGGCACTTGCTGGCCCTGCGAGGAGTTGACGGCGGCTCGTGGTCCAGCTGCTTCGGTAGCCACTGCCACACAACCTTGAGGCTCTGGGGAGAGGGTTGAAAGATAAGATAATAAGGAAGAGTGTTCTTCCACTGTCGCGATGCAGATTTGAACTTCGTTTGCTTGCAACCGGATGCAAGTTTGCAGAGGTGTTTTTTCCAGGGGAGGGGCCCTGGAGGACAGAGTCCTCGCTTCCGAGGCCTCGCGGAGCATGAATAGCTCCAGCTGTTGTTACTGTCCACGGTGTTACATGAACAAGAAGAGGCGGAGCGCGCTGGACGCCGTGCAGCTCCGTTTTGTGTCTGCTATCCAGCGGGTAGCGGGTGGGGCGGTGGGGCGGGGGTCCGTGCCGGGCATGGAGGACGCGGCGCGCCAATTCAGCCAGAACTTTCTGGGGCAAACCGTGGAGCTTTCTCCGCATCGAGCGCTGCATGCATTGGCGCAGGCACCTCGAGCGCCACTCGGACATGCCGGCCGCGATGGCTCTGAAGGTGCAGCCACCGACTTGGCTGCGCGAGCGCAGGGCAGAGCAGTCCAGCAGCGCGCGCCACTCGCTCGGGGGCGTCACCGGCCCTCGGGCGAGCGGGGGCCGCCCCAGCTGCTGGGAGACAATCTGGGCAGAGGTGGTGGAACGAGAGCCTGACCGGCGCCAGGCCACAGAAGCTGAAGTGCTGAAGTCAGCCGAGCCATGCGCATAATGTTTTGATCGTTTTCCTGTCTGGTCCTCCCGGTTCTGTGTTTTATCCCTCCTTCCCCATCTCTCCTTCGCCTTGCTGGCTCCGTGCCTCCCCCGCTCCGTCCCTCTCCGTGTCTGTGCCTCTGCCCTCCCCTCCTGTGCTGCCTCTCACGTGCGTGTCTGTTTTGCTGACCGAGAGTTTTATTTCATGTGTTCCCCATGTGTGTCTGAACCCGCAGTTTAGCACGGCGTAACAGAGCAGCAGTGTAGCAAATGTAGCATGTGTAGCGTACCATCTCATCACATATGCGAGCGAAGAGGAGGAGGCGGAGGAGGAAGAGGAGCAGGAGGAGGAGGAGGAGGAGGAGGAGGAGGAGGAGGAGGAGGAGGAGGAGGAGGAGGAGGAGGAGGAGGGGGAGGACCAGTGTGAACCCGAAACCCATCAACGATGTTGAAATACACCTTCCCCCCCCGATTCCTCTTCACAGGCCCCTACAATGAGGTCATTTCCGCTCAGGGAATTTTCCCGTTGGGAGACAGCCGTGCGAACATCTGAAGCGTGCCAAAACACCATTCTCAGGACTTCAGCGCCACGAGTTAAACCGACTGTTGCGTCTTGGCGATCTTGAATCGTGCCAGGACGCCGCTCCTGGGACTTCAGCACCGCTAAGCAACGTAATTGTTGCGCCCTGACAATTCTGAATGGTTCCAGAACGCCGTTTCTGCTACGGTACCACCATGGGAATCAGTGAAACTCTTGCGACTTTGCAACGAATGTGCGCGGCGCTGGGGCGAGAGACACATTTTGGAAGCCACCCGCCCTCAATCCGTGAAGCCCTCGCAATTTGTTTAAACGAATGTGCTTGGCGCTGAGGCGATACCCACATTTGAAGCCGCCTTCAATCCGTGAGCCCCTTGCCAATTTTAAAGACGAGTATGCGCGGCGCTAAAGCGAGAACCACATGCTGAAAACCACCCGCCCTCAATCCGTGAAGCTCTTCCAATCCTTTAGAAAGAATGTGCGCGGCGCTCATGCATTAACCACATTTAGAGAATGACCCACTCTTGCAATCTTTTAAAAATGATTGGCGCGGCGCAAAGGCGAGAGTCATATTTTGAAAACCACGCGCCCTCCATCTGAAAAGTTATTGCCATTTTTGAGCATCATGGTCATAATGTAGAGGATGTCTCAGGCGAAACGTCTGGCCCTCCCCTTCGACCGGCCTCGGGGTGCGACAGGGAACAGTTTCTCTATAAGAAGAAGGCATGGGGGAGGAAAAGGAGGATGAGGAGGAGGAAGAGGAGGGAGGAGGAGGAGGAAGAGGAGGAGGAGGAGGAGGAGGAGGAGGAGCAGGAGGAGGAGGATGAGGATTCTGATGATGATGAGGAGGAGGAGGAGGAGGAGGAGGGGAGGAGGAGGAGGAGGAGGAGGGGGGGAGGAGGAGGAGGAGGAAGAGGAGGAGGACGACGAGGAGCCGCAGTCGCCGCGGCGGCGAGGTTGTGCCCTCTGGTGCGGGCTGCGCGAGAACGGCAGACGCCAGGGCCCCAGCTCAGAGCCCGAGCTCACGGGGCCGATCGGGGGCTCGGGCAAGGCGAGACTGGCGGATTAGGGGCAACGTTCGGGGGGATAGGCTCAGGGTGGTGAGGAGGAGGGAGAAGGAGGAGGAGGAGGAGGAGGAGGAGGAGGAGGAGGAGGAGGAGGAGGAGAAGCTAGGTGCGCTCGCGTCATATCTGACATCCTACACCTCTCTCCCATCCCTTACCATGGCGCAGATTCCCTCTCTACTCGCTCAGTCGGATGTCGAGCAGGGCAATGATGGGTACGCGATGCATTGTAGAGCACGGCATGGCATGGCGTAGAAGAGCACCGCAAAGCGTATTATCAACCTAGCATTGCAGTGCATGCCGTGGCATGGCACGGGAAACGACGCCAGCGCTGCAGCGGGAGCAGGAGTCGAAACGAGCGGAAGCGCGGAAATGAGGCCAGCGCTGCAGCGGGAGCACGATTCGGAACGAGCGGAAGCACGGAAATGAGGCCAGCGCTGCAGCGTGAGCACGATTCGGAACGAGCGGGGCCCGAAAATGAGGCCGGCGCCTCAGCGAGAGCAGCATTTTGAAAAAAAATGCAGGCGAAAACCCAACCCCGGGGACACCTGTGTAAAAAAACAGTACGCGGGGGGGGGGTCGGACACTCCCAGGCCGTCATCAGGGGAAGGGAGAGTAGTATTCATATTGAGTAATTGTGGAGGAGGAGAAGGAGGAGGTGGAGGAGGAGGAGGAGGAGGAGGAGGAGGAGGAGGAGGGGGGGGGGAGGAGGAGGAGGAGGAGAGGAGAAGGAGAGGAGGGAGGAGGAGGAGGAGGAGGAGGAGGAGGAGGAGGAGGAGGAGGAGGAGGAGGAGGAGGAGGAGGAGCAAGGGAGGGAGGGAGGGAGGGAGGGACGGACGGAGGGAGGGATGGAGGGAGGGATGGAGGGAGGGAGGGAGGGAGTGAGGACGAGGAGGATGAGGAAGAGGAAGTAGAAAAAGGAGGAGGAAACTTCCCGCGATGCCCCCAAACTTGGAGAAGAGCCCAGCTGTGATCTTCCGGCGACGCTTGGAGACCTGGGGCTTTTGCCGGCTGAGGTCGCCAAGAGGGGGCTGTCTTCTGGTGCCGTGGATCGCCGCTGGTCCGGGGCACCGATCGGCCTGGACCGCCGGGGGAGGGCGGGTGGTTCAGAGGCAGCGTTAAGGGGGTTATCCCTAAGGGCTTGTGGGGATCAAGCCGGATAGATCAAGGTAGATGCAGATAACTCGCGGTACATCCAGGTCAATCCGGGCAAATTCAAGTTAATCCAGAAATCTCCAGGGACTCTGGGAGCAAATCGGGGCCGCTCCAACGCGAGTACAGGGACGGCAGAAGTCGTTAAGCCCTCAACGAGGATACGCTCAGGGGGAATGAATCGACCCCCGATCGCTTCTTCGTCGCCCATAAGGGGGCCAGATAGCAGATAGCCCACCTCTCCCAGGAGCGTCGAGGTCCGCTAGCGAGAGCCTGTCGCATCGGCGACGTATCGCTGCTTCCACGTCGATGTTCCCCTGATGAGCCAGCCCCCCCACCCCCCCGAGGAGTGGTGCCGCTGAGGCTGGGGGTTGTGCCTCTGGCGTCTCCTCCTCCTCCTCCTCCTCCTCCATTCCTTTTCTTATGAATGATTTCTTTCTGTCGCACCCCGAGGCCAGTTTTTAGGGCGGGCCGGGCGTTTCGCTTGAGACTTCCTCACCGTTTATGACTCGGGAGCTTAAAAAGTGGCAACAGTTTCACAGATGGAGGGCGGGTGGTTTTCAACATGTGGCTCTCGCCTTAGCGCGGCGCACATCCTTTTCAAACATTTGCAAGAGTTTCACGGATTGAGGGCGGGTGGTTTTCAACATGTGGCTCTCGCCTGAGCGCGGTGCACATTCGTTTAAACAAATTGCAAGGGTTTAACCGATTGAGGGCGGGTGGTTTTCAACATTGTGGCTCTCGCTTCAGCGCGGCGTACATTCGTTTTAAGAATTCGCAAGACTTTCACGGATTGAGGGCGGTTCCTTTTCAATATGTGGCTTTCGCTGCAGCGCGGCGCACATTCGTTTTTAAGAATTTGCAAGAGTTTAACGGATTCAGGGCGGGTGGTTATCAACATGTGGCTCTCGCCTTTTTGCGGCACACATTCGTTTTAAAGAATTCGCAAGGGTTTCACGGATTGAAGGCGGGTGGTTTTCACCATGTGGCTCTCGTCTCAGCGCGGCGCACATTCGTTTTAAAGAGTTTGCAAGAATTTGACGGATTGAGGGCGGGTGGTTTTCAACATGTGGTTCTCGCTTCAGCGCGGCGCACATTCGTTTGTAAGAGTTGCAAGAGTTCCGCGAATTTCTATCATCAGCGTACCAGGAAGTATGTTTTGGAAGGACTCAGGATTATGCGGGCGCAACATTTTCGTTGATTTTCTGTGTTGAAGTCTTAGGAATGGCGTTCTGGCGCGATTCAGGGTCGTCAAGACGCAACAGTCAGGTTGATCTGTGGCGCTTAAATCCCGAGAACAATGTTTTGGCACGCTTCAGGGTCTTCACACGGTTGCTTTCCAACGAGGCAGTTCCATCAATGGAAATAATCGTTGTAGGGGCCTATGAAGAGGGAGCTTGGAGGGAGGGTCTACTCCAACATCGTTAATGACTCTTGGGTTTACACTGGTCCTCCTGCTCCTGCTCCTTCTTCTCCTCCTTCTCCTCCTGCGCCTCCTGCTCCTCCTCCTCCTGCTCCTCCTCCTCCTCCTGCGCCTCCTCCTCCTCCTCCTCCTCCTCCTCTCAGGGGTGGTGCCGCCGAGGCTGGGGCCGTCGAGGGCCTGCCGTGCCAGGGGGCTGCCTGCCTGGGCACACCGCTGGACACCGCCAGGCTTTTCCGAGAGCTGGGGGGCGGGACGGGGCCAGGCAGGAGGACATCGGCCTCCTCCTTCTCCTCCTCCTCCGCCTCCGCCTCTTCTCCTCCTCCACCTCCTCCTCCTCCTCCTCCGCCTCCACCCTCCCTGGGGCGGTGCGTCGGTGCGTATGCGAGTTTGTTTACACTTCTGTAGGCCGTGGCGCTCCTCCGCCGCCGCCGCCTCCTCCTCCTCCCCCTCCTCCTTCTCCTCCTCCTCCTCCTCCTCCTCCTCCTCCTCCTCCTCCTCCTCCTCCCCCTCGTGCTTCTCCTGTTCCTTCTCCGCCGCCTCCTCCTCTTCCGTGGACTGCTCGCCTTGGGACGCGCGCTCCTCCCGCTCCTCCTGTTCCTCCTGTTCCTCCTCCTCCAAGACATCAGCTGTGGAGCGGCAGCGGGGGATGAGGAGGAGGGGGCCCAGCAGCAGGGGAATGGGCAGAAGGGGGCTTGGCAGTCAGGAGGCATGCAGGGCTTGCTGTCTGGGCTGTTGCTGCTACTGATTCGTTTGCTGCTGCTGCTGGTGGCTGATGTTGTTCTGACTAGAGCAGCGACGTGATGTGGCGCCAGTGCACCGGTTAACATGCTATGCAGCTGGTCCGTATGGCCCAATCGTGAGGACTAGTTCGGTGCTATGTCTCCAAATTCGTATTTTATTTTGTTCCAATGTCAATCCTCACTAGTCCTGGTAATGAACCCCGCCGATCCTTACTTAGGGTTCGTCGCGTTTCTCATGATACGCACCATTCTATTCTTCAGTATCTAATGTGCTTCCAATTCGTCCCAATGGTGCTCTGCATTTGCCTTTAGTGTACTCCCTACTGATCCTCATCATTCTCTGCATCATCCGGCTGTCTGCGAAAGCCCTGCCACAGTATCAGCCCAGCTCCTTGGGTGGCTATTGACAGGAAGCTGTTACGCGTGAAACCTCGTGTCCTGAGCCTTCGGGTAGCTATGACATGTGTGGTATGCTCCACTGCGCCATGTTGGTAGTGGAAGTGATCATGAAGATTAAGAGGCAGAGTCTGACGACAATGCTGTTGAAGAGGATTAGGAGGAGGAGGCACAGGAGGAGGAGGAGGAGGATAATGAGATAAGGATGGGGATTGCGTCGGAGGAGGGGGCAGCAATACCATCAGTATGGCGGTACTGACAATGCTGCTGATGATGGTGATGATTCTGTTGATGCTGATGCTGCTCACTATGATTACTGTGCCGGTAGTCTTGATGATGGTGCTGCAGATGATGATGATGATAATAATGATGATGAGGATGTTGATGCTGCTGCTCATGATGATGACGAGGATCTTTATGATGATGATGATGATGGCGATGACGACAATCATGATGATGATGCTGATGATGATGATGATGATGATGATGAACATGATGATGCTGATGATGATGCTGATGATGATGATGCTGACGATGCTGATGATGATCAGGATGCTACTGATGATGACGATCACGATGATAATGATGTTGATACGGATGCAGATGATGATGATGATGCTGCTCATGATGATGCTGATGATGATGATGATTCTGACGATGATGATGATTCTGCTGATGAGGATGCTGACGATGCTTATACGGTTGATGATGGCGATGATGGGGATGTTGACGGCTATGATGATAGTGATGATGATGATGATGATGATGATGCTGTTGATGATGATGATTCTGATGCTGGTGGTGGTGGTGGTGGGGCTGATTCTGTTGATTACGGTGATAATAGTGGTAACGATGACGAATATGATGATGGTGACGATGATGATAGTGATAATGTTGGTTGTGGTGGTGATGATGATGATGATGATGATGATGATGCTGATTTTGATGATGATGATGATGCTGATGCTGATGCTGATGCTGATGCTGATGCGGATGCTGATGATGCTGATGATGATGATGATGATGATGATGATGATGATGATGATGATGATGATGATGATGATGGGGGTAACGATGATGACTCAGATGATGATGCTGTTGCTGATTTTGATGGTCCTTCGTTTTATCGCGTCACGCCAGAAATTATGATGGCTTCGCTCGCTCCGCCCGCCCGTATTTGTGCCATCGCTGGCGCTTGCCAGCGCCTTCGTGGCCCATGCGGCGCTGCTTGGCGGTGGTCCTTTCTAGAGGCTTGTTTGAAAGCCTTTTGTAGAGGCTTGTTTTTTTAGAGGCTTTTTCTAGAGGCTTTTTCTAGAGGCTTTTTCTAGAGGCTTTGGGCGTGGGGAGGCGGCGTACTTGCTTTGAAACTTGTCGTGGGGGAGAGCTCCTGGGGAACAGTCTTGGAGCCTCCTGGGAGCCTCGGGTGGGTCCTCCCGGGGCCGCTTGGGGGCCTCCTGGGGGCTCCCTGGGCGCCTCCCGAGGGCCTCTTAGGCTGGGGCCTCCTGCGGGTCTCTCGCGTCCTCCTGGGGGCTTTTGGAGGCCGAGGGCTTGAATTGTCGTCTCGTGCTCCCTCTCTGGAGCCTCTCTTGGGGCTTTCCAGGGGCGCTATGAGGCCGTCTTGGAGGCTTCGTGGGCCGTCTTGAAGCCCCTTTGGGCTGTCTTGGAGCCCGCCTGGGGGCCTCCTGGGCCGTCTTGGGGCGATCTTGGAGGCCTCTTAGGCCGTCTTGGAGCGTCGGGAATCCGCAAAGGCGAGAACGCCCCAACCCTTCAAAAACCGACAGGAAATCTATGATTTTTGCCTTTGGGGGCCCTCTGGGGAGTGCTCTTGGAGGGACCTTGGGCCATCTGGGGGTCATCTTGGCCTCTTGGAATGATCTTGTGGTGTCCCGGACGCCTCTTAGACCATCTTGGCGGCCTCTTGGTGGCCTCTTGGCCCTTCTTGGGGCTTCGTGGGGGGCCCCGAGGGCGGCGCCCAGGAGCAAAACCATCTCTGATGGGACCTTGCCAGGGTACTTCTCGGCCGGGGACCCTAGGGGCGGCCCCGCGCGCACGAACTAGAAAGTTCTGAACCAGTTGATTGTCCTCCGTCTGGGGGCCTTTGGGGGCTTCTTGGGGGCCTCTTTGGCCGTCTTAGGGCGTTCCTGGCTTGTCTGACGCCGCCAGACGCCGTCTTGGGGGCCTGTCTGGGTCGTCTTGGGGCCCTCTTGGGGCATATGAGGGGTTCTTAGAGGCCATCTTGGGCGTCTTGGAGGCCTCTTGGGCCGTTTTGGTGCCCTCTTGGGGCCGTCTTGGGGGCCTTTTGGGCCGTCATGGGGCCATCTTGGAGGCCTCTTGGGCGATCTTGGGGGCCTCTTGCGCCGTCTAGAGCCGTCGGAAAGCCGAAAAGAAGCAAATGTGAAAATCATTCAACAACCCACGACAAATCAATGATTTTGGCCTCTTCGTGCCCTCCTGGAAGTCCTCCTGGACGCCTTTTGGGCTGTCTTGGAGGCCTCTTGGGGGCCTCTTGGGCCGTCTTGGGCCGTCAGGCCCTCATCCTGAGGCCATCTTAGGCCGTCTTGGGTGCATCTTGGGTCGTCTTGGAGGCATCTTGGGGCCATCTTAGCCGTCTTAGAGGCCATTTTGGCCGTCTTGGAAGCCTCTTCGGCCCTCTTGGGGCCGTCTGGGGGGCCTCTTGGGCTGTCATGGGGCCACCTTGGAGGCGTCGTGGGCGATTTTGGGGGCCTCTTGGTCCGTCTTGAGCCGTCGGAATGCCGAAAAGAAGCAAATGTGAAAATCATTCAACAACCTAAGGCAAATCAATGATTTTGGCCTCGTCGGGCCCTCCTGGAAGACCTCCTGGACGCCTTTGGGGCCGTCTTGGAGGCCTCTTGGGGGCCTCTTGGGCCGTCTTGGGCCGTCAGGCCCCCATCTTGAGGCCACCTTAGGCCGTCTTGGGTGCATCTTGGGCCGTCTTGGAGGTATCTTGGGGCTATCTTAGCCGTCTTGGAGGCCATCTTGGGCGTCTTGGAGGCCTCGTGGGCCGTCTTGGGGCACTCTTGGGGGCCTCTTGGGCTGTCATGGGGCCATCTTGGAGACCTCTTGGGCGATCTCCGGGCGATCTTGGGGGCCTCTGGGGCCGTCGGAAGGCCGAAAAGGCGAAAATGCCCAAATCCTTTGAAAACCTAAAGACAATCAATGATTTTGGCTTCTTCGGGCCTTCCTGGAGAACCTCTTGGAGGCCTCTTGGGCTGTCTTGGGGACCTCGTAGTGGGCTCTTGGGCCGTCTTCGGCCATCTTGAGGCTATCTTAGGCCGTCTTCGGTGCATCTTGGACCGTCTTGGAGGCATTTTGGGGCCATCTTAGCCGTCTTGGAGGCCATCTTGGCCGTCTTGGCCGATCTTGGAGGCCATCTTGGGCCGTCTTGGAGCCGTCTGGAGCAGGAACAACCCTTTGGAACCGGGTCTGGGCAATCTTTCCGGGTGGCCGGCGGGGCGGGCCGAAGCCCCAGGGGGAGTCCTTTTGGAAAAAGAACCAAAACCAAAACCGAAAGGATTCAGCACGCCAGGCACCCCTGCGATGAACAGACAGGGGGCGGCGGATCCAATGGACATCGGCCCATCGGGCCACCGTGCCGAGGTTGTGTGTCATAGGCCTCTATGATGTTCGTTCGGATGTCGCGTGAGGCCTCTCGGGGGCCTCGTGGAGGCAAGTTTGAAGCCTCGTGGGGGCCGTTTTTGGGCCGTTTTGGGGCCTCTTAGGGACCTCTTGGGGTCTCCTGGGGGCATCTTGGGTCCGTTCGGGCTCCCACTTTTGGGCCCCTCTTGGGGCCGTCTTGCGGCTTTCTCGGGCCATCTTGGGTGCCTCTTAGGCCGTCTTGGAGCCCTCTTGGGGGCATCTTGGGCCACTGGAGCCTCGGAAGCTTTCAAAATCGAGAACTCCCGAAAACACTGAAACACCCAAGGACATTCTAAGCCTCTTGGGGCCCTCTTGGGAAGGCTCGCGGGGCTCTTGGAGCGTCTCGGAGGCTTCTTGGGCCGTCTTGGGGAAATCTTGGGCGTCTTGGACCGACCGTTTGGCGATTCGGGGCGCTCTCGGACCGACTGGGCGGCTTCCTGGGGCCTTCTTGGTCCGTCTTGGAGCCTTCTTGGTTCCGAAAATGCCATGCGACAAGACGCGGGTGAGCCCTGGCGGCACGCCGCGTGTCCAAGAAGATCTGGGAATTCGGGGTCTGGGCCCGTAACGCATCTTCAGGACTAGGGACGGAGGCCTATGGGGTTGAGCAAGGGGCCCGGGGACGCTCCACTTCGTGCCACAGGGGCACGGTGGCGGATCATCCTTTTTCGCAGGCGTCTGGGTTCGAGCGTCCCTGTGCAGAAATGATGCAGACAGTGGCGCGTTCTCTTAAGACATGGAAGACGCCCCAAATCATTGGCATCGTAGACTGGAAGCTTGGCGCACTGTGCTGGGTTCTGCGCATATGCGTGGTCTTCTACGTGATCTACAGGCTCTTGAGCGACGTGAACGGTATGAGAAACGTAGAGATCCCGTCTGGGTATCCCACCTTCTGGTTCGAGTCAGGGGGACTGCGGGCGGAGCAGAACTTCACCACTGCGCCCCAGTATTGTAGTAACTCCGATTACGATTACCACTATCAGGAAGGCGGTCCCGCGAAGTACTGGAACGACTTGGACATCGGCTGCATCAACGTTAACTATGGCGATATAGTCCAGGTCTCCATGTCATCTGCGTTTGCCATAAGCTACATGAAGACGTTGCACACGAAGAGCTTTCCCTGTGACCCCTCGAGCGCTGGTTCGCCCTGCAGCATGGTTTCTGTATCCGGTAGCCGTACGGCTGAAGACGGGTGGATCTACGATGCGCACGGAGGAAATGCGACGTGCACTTGTAGCAAGCAGCAGGACAACTTCGTCGTAGGCTTGGAAGAGATGGAGTTGCACGTGCAGCACGCCTTCATGGGCACAGACATCAGCGGCAAGTCCATCGCCACGAGCAGCAGCGAAGACGTGAGGACGATCCAGACATGCTTGAGAGATCCCGCGGAGAAGGACACGGCAGAGTGCAACGATCCCAACTACGGCGTGCCAGAAGAACACCTGGGCAAGTGTTGCTGGAAAACGTCTGGCTGCCTGCGGCAAGTCCCGCCACGGTGCCAGCGCGGCGTTCCGCGTGGCGACCTTTCGAGCATCGTGGCGAATGCCGTCGCATCTGACGCTTGTCGCCCCTAGGCTGAAGTCGGGCGTGTCCGTCTACAGCAGGAGTATTCACACATAGTAAAAACAGTACGGGGACGTTTTTTTTTTTTTTTTTTTTTTTGTTTTTTGATTTTGAGTTTTTGGACTATCTTGAATGTGGTTTTGATTGTTTCCTTCCGAAGTCCGCCTACAAGGGGGGCATGCCTGGCCTAACCCTAGTCGTAGAAAGATAAGGAGCAGGATAACACGGTTGTCATTGACGATGAGGAGGAGGATGAAGAAGAGAGCGAGAGTGAGGTTGACAAAGAAGGCCGTCACATGTGACATTTTGTCGTCCCCCAAAGAGGAGGATCCGGAGGAGGAAGGCCGCAACACCTGACACTTGTCGTCCCTAGGAAGGGGGATGGAACATTTCGTAACACAGTCAGTTAGGACGAGGAAGATAATGACTAGTAACCAGAGGAGGAGGACGAGGAGGAGGAGGAGGAGGAGAAGGAGGAGGAGGAGGATAACGAGAAGGAAGAGGAGGAAGAGGACGAGGAGGAGGAGGAGAAGGAGGAGGAGGAGGGGGAGGAGGAGGAGGAGAGGAGGAGGAGGAGGAGGAGGAGGAGGAGGACCAGGACGAGGAGGAGAAAGAGGAGGAGGAGGAGGAGGAGGAGGAGGAGGAGGAGGAGGAGGAGGAGGAGGAGGAAGAGGCGAGAAGGAGGGGGGGGAGGAGGAGGAGGATGGTGAGGAGGAGGATTGCTGTTATATGTGGCACGTTGTCGCCCCAGCAGGAGGAGTTGCGTCCTCAGTTTTGAGAGTGACCTGCCATGTGACACGCTTTTCCGCGTCGTGTCGGGGTGTCTTTCGTCGTCTTCGTCGTCGTCTTCCTCCCTGCATGTTGTTTCCTCTTTCTCTCTTGGGGACTCTTGGAGGCCTCTTGAGGGCGTCTGGCTCCTTGGGACGTCTTCGGGCACTCTTGGACCGTCTGGCCCTTTCTGAGTCCGTCTTGGGAGCCTCTCTGGGCCGTCTTGGGCGTCTCTAGGGCCGTCATGGGGCCGTCTTGGAGTCCGCCTGGGCCATCTTGGGACCCTCTTGGGCCGTCTTGAGGCGGTCTTGGAGGCCTCCGCAGCCGTCCAGGGCTGACGGTAGCTCGGAAAGGCGAGAAGCGGAAAATCGGTGATCGGACGTTTTCGGGCCCTACTGGAGGCTCTCTTGGAGCCGTCTTGGCCGTATTAGGTGCCTCTTGGGCCGTTTTGGAGCCCAGCTTGGGCCGTCCTTGAGCCATCTTGGGCCTTCTTGGCGCCAGTGGTGGCCTGCCTGAGCCGTCTTGGAAGCCATCTTGGGCACCCCAGAAGCCTTGGAGCGAGGTGCCGGGGCGTCCAGAGAGCCTCGGGGGTGGGGGGACAGCTGGGAGAGGCGCGGGGTCCCTTGGGAGACGTACATCAACCCTACCAGACAGCGCTTTGCTGTGCGCCTCAACGTGCCATCTGGGCACGGCTGCGGATTCCAGCCAGGCGAAGACATGGGGCTATCAATCAGAGAGTGGCTGCAGGCGGCTGGTATAAGCTTGGACGAGGTAAACACTGGCGTTGAACCTGACACTCGGTACGTTGAGGGCGAAGATGTCACACGCTACCCAAACCGCAGAGTCACTGGGAACAAGATGCGTTTTATTCTTCAGGCTTTGCGGTGTGCACGTCCAGACTGGGAAGGCAGTTTCGTTTCCGATCTGTCTGCCTCCTCGTCCTGGTCCTTATCCCGTTGCTCCTCCGCCTCTTGCTCATCCGCCTTTTCATCTGCCTCCTCCTCCTCCTCCTCTTCCTCCCCCCAGCCTTCTCCTCCTCCTCCTCCTCCTCCTCCTCCTCCTCCTCCTCCTCCTCCTCCTCCCCCTCCCCCCCCTCCTCCTCCATTCCTTCTCCTTATAAATAACTTTTCCGTGTCGTGCCCCGGGGCCAGTTTTTAGGACGGGCCGGGCGTTTCGCCTGAGAATTCCTCATCATTTATGGCCCCGGAACTTAAACATTGACAACAGTTTCACAGATGGAGGGCGGGTCGTTTTCAAAATGTGGCTCTCGCCTTAGCGCCGCGCACATTCGTTGTAAACATGTGCAAGTGTTTCACGGATTGAGGGCAACCCGTGTTCAAGATGTGGCTCTCGCCTTGGCGCCGCGAACATTCTTTTTTTTAAAATTTGCAAGAGTTTCACCGACCGAGGGCGGTTCATTTTCAAAATGTGTCTCTCACCTTAGCGCTGCGCACATTCCTTGTTAACATTGGCAAGAGTTTCACGGGTTGATGGCTGTTCATGTTCAAAATGTGGCTCTCGCCGTAGCACCGCGCACAGTGCCGCGTGCATTCTTTTTAACAGTTTGCAAGAGTTTCAGGAATTCCCATGATCAGCGTATTAGGAATGGTATCATGATTATGTGGGTGCAACATTTACGTTGGTTCGCGTTGCTGACGTCCCAGGAATGGCGTTCTGGCACGGTTAAGGATCGTCAAGACGCGACAAACAGGTTGATCCTTGGCGAAGGAATCCCGAGAACGATGTCTTGGCGTGCTTCAGGGTCTTCAAACGGTTGTCTTCCAACGAGGCAGTTCCCTCAGTGGAAATGAACCCTTGTAGGGGCCTATGAAGAGGGATCTTGGATGGAGGGTGTATTCCAACATCGTGGATGACTCTTGGGTTTGCACTGGTCCTCCTCCTCCTCCTCCTCCTCCTCCTCCTCCTCCTCCTCCTCCTCCTCCCCCGCCTCCTCCTCCTCCTCCCCCGCCTCCTCCTCCTCCTCCTCCTCCTCCTCCTCCTCCTCCTCCTCCTCCTCCTCCTCCTCCTCCTCCTCCTCCTCCCCCCCCCTCCTTTTGCGAGCTCCTGCTCTTTTCGGGCTCAGCTCTCGGGACGAGGTGGAACTCCTCGGAGCTCGTGCGCGGGAGCGCCGCCTCGGCAGGCCGTCTGCCGCCCCCCCGAAGGCACTGACCCACAACTCGTTGCAGTTTTGTTTTGTTGTGCATGCCGGATGTGGTGGTACTTTCGTAGTCGTTGCGGAGCTCCTCCTCCTCCTCCTCCTTCGCCCCCCGCTCCTCCTGCTCCTCCTCCTCCTCCTCCTCCCTCCTCCTCCTCCTCCTCCTCCCCCTCCTCCTCCTCCTCCTCCTCCTCCTCCTCCTCCTCCTCCTCCTCGTTCGTTCGTTTCTCAGGCAAGAGAGTCGATGCCTCTACTCGGGGATCAGGCGAGAGAGAGCAGGATGGAGACGGCGGCGACGAGGACCCCCCAGACCACGAGCCACGCAGAGAGGGCAGCCCAATGCCCACGCACCCCCCCAAGAGGGGGGGACGCAGGAGAGGAAGAGAGAAGCAGAGGAGGAGGGCCCGCATGGGGGGAGCTTGGGCTCAGGGTGTCCAAGACTCAGCGCCAGGCCCACCAGGGCCGAACGGGCCAAACACAGGATTTACGAGCCGCGACCAGCTGCCGAAACCGTCCAGTCTACACAGCTACCTGGCCAATGTGTGTGCAGAAGCTTCAAGCATGTGTCGAATGGCTTCCTCTCAAACTGTGTCTGGCCGACAGGTATACACTGCACAAAGCTCAATGCTACACTGAGAAATGGTGCACGCTACATATGCGGTGGCTGCCAACTAGTCTCACCTGTCACACGATTGAAGAAGTACGTCATGCCGCTTGCAGGGTCGCGTGCCATCTCCCAGCTTTGAGGCATCAGTGGCGGCAACTGTTGTCTAAGTGACTGGAGCTGTCGAGCTAGGGCATATCCACCACGTTGCTGGCAGACGTGTGGCCTGAGACAGCGGGAGTCTGCTGCATGAAAGCTCCTTCATCTGTCACTGCTGCCGAAACCATGGCCTCGGGCGTTTCCGGCAACGAGCTTGCCCCTACCGAGGGAGCTCTGCTCGGCATGGGCATGCCGCGCTGGCGCCGAGGTGCTGAGCGCTTGCCGAACTCCTCCGGCTGCTCGTCCTTCGGCAGCGCAGTGGGCGCAGAACGAGGCGCTGGAGCCTTTGCCCCATCGTCTTCTTTGGCACGCGGAGGGAGAACAGGATCGTCGCGACAAAACTGTGGTTTGTCAAGCCAGATCAGCACAGCTGAGGTACCGTCGCTATGTGCATGGCCACGATCTGTTGCAGACAGAGTGCCGAGGGAGCTGATGAGGTCCTCGATGTCCGAGCTGACCACCAGCGAGTGTGCAGGACCAGGAGGCGCACGCTCCGGAGACAGCACTATCTTGTACTTCATCTTGACGGGGTCCTTGGCCTCGACGATGGAAATGTGGACACGCCGAGTGGCCACCTGGCGCTGAATCCAGCGGAGACGAGCAAGGACAACCATGGGAAGAGAAAAGGGGGAGTCGGGTTAGGTGAATGGTGTGAGCCGCTCTCTAAGCAAATGCTTGATCGAGACGGCTCTCCTCCTCCTCCTCCTCCTCCTCCTCCGCCTCCGCCTCCGCCGCCTCCTCCTCCTCCTCCTCCTCCTCCTCCTCCTCCCGCGCCGCGCGCGGGTCTCCCGCGGCCGGAGCGCTGCAATTGGGAGCCGGCGCAACCCCCCCACCCCAGATGCGGCCCACCGCTCGGCGGCGAGCCGGCCGGCCAGCGTGTCGGGCCCGCTCGCTGGCCGAGCGGGCGAGCTCAGGCGCGCCGCGCGCGCCGCGCAGGCGGCGCGCTGGGGTCCGCGGCGGGCAGCCGCCGCGCCGCGGCGCCCTGCTGTGGCAGCGCGGCCGTGCGCCATGCCTCCGCGTTGCCGCGCTGCAGTGTCGCGGAGAGGCTCTGCTGCGCGGTCACCAAGACCTGCGGGTCCCCGGCGGCCCAGGTGCGCAGCAAGGCCTGCGCCTCCTTGCCAGGCCGGCCCAGCGTCTCCACGGCGAAGGCGTGCAGCGCAGGCCCGGGGTAGCGCCGGTGCTTGCGTTCTTCGGCCGCCGCGGCCGCGGCGCCGTCCCGGGTCGCGCGGCTGCGGTCGGCGCCCGTGCCAGCCCGGAGCGCGTCGTCGGTGTCTGTGACGTCGACGTATTGCCGTCCTGCCACAGGGTCGACGAACGCCACGTCGAGGCGCGCGGACTGCACGCCGCCATCCGGGCGGGCGCGGTCCCAAGCGGGCACGTCCTATTCCGTGGCCACGCCAGCGGCGCCCCGCTTAGCCAGCCAGCTGGCCAGCCAGTCGCGCACGCCATCGTGCTTGTCGATGGCCAGCCCGCCCGCTGGGCAGCCCGCCGCGTGGCCAGGGTTCGCCCGCAAGTCGCAGCCGCAAGCCGTGCCGTCGCGCCTCCGCCGCTTTTCACGTAGGGCTGGCTCCCTCGGGCAGCGGCAAGCAAAGCTGGAGGGCGAGCGCAGGCCGCAGGCGCCGCGTCGGGGGCAGGATGGCGCCCGCGCTTCTGCCGCCCGCGGAGCGGAGGCCGGCGGCCTGGCTCGCGGGCAGGGAGGCCAGCAGGCGAGCGCGCCGCTGCGCCTGCGCCGGCTGAACCAAGCGCTTCTGTGCCTTCTCCAGGCGCTCCGTTGCGGCGCAGACCCAGCTAGTAGCGCTCGCGCAGCCAGCCGCCCCGCCTGCTCGGCCGCCGCCCACGTCTGAGGGCAAGCGGCAGCGAAGGCCTCGAGGCTGGGCTCGCCCAGCTCACGGCGCACTTCCGCCAAGCACGCCTGCCAGGAGCCCACGTACGCAGGCAGACGCCGTTGCTCCAAGCTGTGCCAGCCAAGGCCGCCGCGCGCCAGGGGCAGGTAGGCCGTCTCGCGCGCGGTCGCTGAACGTCTGCCCCAGCGCGCCCTCCGCGTGTCGCAAGACCAGGTCGTCGTAGGCGCGGGACCAGGCTTTGTCGAGCAGGTGCGCGCGCGCGTGGAGGGCGGCTCCGTTGACAAACGTGCCCAGGAGCACGAGCTCGTCCTGGAGCTGGAGGCCGTGCTCGCGCGGGTGCCCCAGTCTCGCCAGGAACGCGCGCAAGTGGCGGGTCGCCGACTCCGGCGCGGCCGCCGCGCCGAAGCTCGTTCCCGCGGGGTCCTGGCCGAGGTCGTCCGCCGCCGCCCCTCCGCAGACGAACTGGAGGCGGCTGCCCACGCGCGCGAGGTCGGGCATCGGGGCGGCCGCGAGGCTCGGTGTGAGCGGCAGCCCGCGCGGGTTCCACGCCTTGGTCTTCTCGGCGTTCAAGCGGAGGCCGCGCGCTGCCAAGAGGGCCGGGGCGCCGGCGAGGGCCGCGGCAAGCGCCGCCGCTGTGCCGACGACGAACACGTCGTCGAGGTAGGCCACTACCCGGGCGTTCGGGTCGTGCCGGAGGGCGGTCGCCGCCAGCTCCTCGTAGAGCCTCGCCGTGGCTGTCGCGTAAAAGGCCGGCGACAGGGGGCAGCCCTGGTCAAGGCCGCGCTTCGCCGTCACCTCAGCTGTTGTTTCGGCCGCGTTGGCGCCGTGCGTGGTGTCCCCGCCGTACCGCGCCAAGGCGAGGCGCGCGAGGGACGGAAGGCGCTGGGCGACCTCCCGGAGCACGACGTCCCGGTCGAGCTCGTTGAAGGCGTTCGCCACATCGAGTGACAGCACTGCACTGTTCTGGGCCTTCTCCAAGGAGCAGTTAACGAGCTATTGCATGTCCTCCACGCCCGTCCGCCGACCGACCCCGTACTCGTGCGGCCCCACCGCCTGGGCGATCAGCTCTTTGTGCTTCGTCGTTGCTGCCTTCGCCGCCATGCGGCGGAGCGTCTCTCCACAGGCGAGGGGTCGTACCCCCCGCCTGGTTTTTGGAACGGGATTAGACGGCCACCCAGCAGCGCCTTCGAGGCGGCCGGCGGCGCGTCGCCGCGCAGGATGACGGCGAGCACCTGCACCAGCGCCTCCTTCCCGTCTGCGTTCCCACGAAGCGTTGCCCAGTGCTCGAAGCGGGCCCCCGTGAGGCCCGGCCCGGAGCTCCGCGGGAACTTGTTCAGATGCCTGGCGGCCTCCTCCGCATCGTCGGCCTCCCACGCTTCTGACGGGCACTGTGGTGGCGGCGGCACTCGCGGGGCTCCGGCCCCCGGGAAAAGGCTGGCCACGCGGGCGCGCGCCTCCGCCCCCACGGCGAGCTTCCCTGGGCCGCTCGCGGCCGCAGCGGCCCGGGACACTTCACCCAGCATGATGAGTTCGTGCACCCGCTTGGTGTGGGTCGCGGCGTCTGGTGGCCGCCGGCTGCCGCCGCCGCCATTGTCGCCAGGGCGTGCTGTGGCCGCCCAGAGGCCCGCCCAGTCCCCCGCCCACGCCTGCGGGATCCTGGCGCCGATCACCTTCGGGGCCGGAGGCCAGTCCGCATGCTGGTCGTCGCCGGCAGGGGGGATGGCGAAGAGCACGCGCGGCAGGAGCAGCATGCGCGCCCATGCAGCCTCTCGGGCCGGGTCTGCGGCCACCGCCTTCAGCGCCGCGCCCAGCAGCTCGCCGACGGCCACTGCAAGGCTGTCTGGGACAGCCGTCCAGGTGGGCACAGGCTCGCGGAGGGCGCCTTGGAGCTCGAACGTATCCCACCACGCCAGGCCCGGGAGGTTGCCAGCTTCGGCGGCAGCCACGTGCCGGGGTTCTGGGTCCCCCGAGGGTGAGTCAAAGCCCGGCTGCGCCGCCGCGCCGTCCACCATGCACGCGAGGACCTCCGAGCGAGCTTCCTCGGGCAACGCGGCCAGACTGTCTACTGTGCCTGCTGGGATGCCTCCTGGGATGCAGGCTGGGTGCCGGAAGTATCGGTCCGGGTTCGCGCGGCTCGCCAGCCGCACCTCCTTGTGACTGAAACCTTGACAGCAAACGTCACACATTGCGACGTGCTTCCGGACGGGCTGCAGCGTCGCCGTCCACGCGGCCACTTTGGGCTGGCGCGCGGCGCGCGGCGCGCGGCGCGCTGGCGGCAGCGGCAGGAGGCGGTGCAGCGGCGGGCCCCGTGCCGCTTCGGGGATGGGCTGCTCGGGAAGGCGCGGCTCCAGCCGCTCCTTGCAAGCTCTCCACGTCCCTGGCGAGGTCCGTCATCACCTCGTCCTCCTCGTCGTCTTCTTCCCTCCCGACGTCGCCCATCCCGTCGTCGTCGTCGTCCTCCTTCAGGTCGCCCATGGCCCCTTGGTCGCAGGCCAGCCGGCCCGCGCTCACGTCACTCTCCATCCCCAGTGGGGCGGCCGCCGCCGGCTGCTCGGCCGCCCGGCCGCCCCAGCAGAAGCCCTCCTCCTCCTCCTCCTCCTCCTCCTCCTCCTCCTCCTCCTCCTCCTCCTCCTCCTCCTCCTCCTCCTCCTCCTCCTCCTCCTCCTCCCCCCGTCCCCTTCCCAGGGCTCGGCGCCCCCGTGCGGAGGCAGCAGGTGGAGCGCTTGGGCTCAGGGCCGTCCTGGGCCTGCTTTCGACTGTTTGGGGTCTCCTGCCTTCTGTGAGCCATCGGAGGTCGTGGGCCATTCGGGGGCTCGTCGACCGTATCGGGTTTCTCTCGAAGTCCTCTGGAGGCTATCTTGATGCCTGCTTGGGGCCGTCTTGACAAATATAGGTTTTTGTTGCAGCTATCTTGGGGCTCTCTGCTGTCTTCCTGAAGTCATCGTTGACCAGAAAGCCTGGAAAACCACAGCTTGGAGAACTTTGGTTTATTGTTGGATGATTTTGCCATGTGGGGCCTCTTTTCAACTCCTGGGGCCTCAATTGGAGGCTCTCCTGTCTTGTGGGCCTCTTGGGCCGTCCTGGCAGCCTCCGTGGGCCATCTTCGGCCGTCTTGTCTTTATCCTGGCGCCTTTTTGAGCCACCCTCGGCCGTTCTTGACATTCCTGGGGCTCTCGTGTGGATTTGGACAATGGTGTCCTCTCCCGCCCGCACCTGTTTTGGGAGGGGAATCTGTCTTTCATGCCGATGGCTCCTAGGGCTTGGTGGATTATGAAATATTTTGGGGACCACCAGGACGATCGTTTCCAATGTGTCATCGACGTGGAGCACGAGGACTCATGGACGTCCCTGGGCTCCAAGGTCATTCGTGTAAGCTACGCTGGAATGGGCGACTCGGAGTTTTACGACATGTACCGGCGCGGACTTGCGTTTACCTTCGAGCCTACTGGTGTGATTACAAAATTCGACTGGCTCGCGCTCATAAACACCATCGTCTCTGGTCTTGTCTTTCTTGCACTCGTTGATAATGTCGTAGGAGTGTTCGCCTTCTACATCGTGCGACACAGCGACATTTACAGCAAGGCCTGCGTCGAGGAGCTTCAGTACAGTCACCTTCTGGCGAAGTTCGGAATCAATGTGGCTCTGGCATGCCAAAACTTCAAGGCTTGGAACAAGGCGGATTCTGGCAAAGAAGCTTCAATCTCCAAAGATGAGCTCGCCGCAGTTTACAGTGACTGCTTCGACACTGATACGGCCATGAAGTTCGCAGAGGTTGTCATTGAACAGGCAGTGGGAGACCCCAATGCTACCGAACTGAAGTACTCGCATCTTGTAGGCTTGATGTCGACTGGTCTGGTTACCACTGATCGGCTCAAGAAGTTTGCAGAGCAGCATGCAAATGATCCTATAGCTAATTTCAATAGCAGTCAGGTGGCTCCAGCATAGTGAACCATGTTAAGGCAATGGCTGTCATGCAGATTGGAAGTGCAGCACGGGAGATGCCATTTTAAATTGAACTCTTGCCAGAACAGTTGGGCTCGATGCCTACTCAATAATCCCAAGCCAAAAAACATGGGCTCCGTTGGGTCGTGCTGTTGGCATGTGTACTGTCTGGGCGCGCTGAACAACAAAGAACTCATCATTATCATACTCATCTTCATTTGTTTGTGATTTGGTGCATGTCAGGCGATGCGTCAGGACTCCCATGACGCCCCACTCATGCATCACAAGGCGCGCTATATGCTGCAAAGCCTCTGGGAAGTCCTTGATGGTCACATCTTGTGCGAGGGCATCAGACGCTGCGCGGAGGTCGCGGGTCCTGGGTTTGATGCGTGGGATGGGGTCGGACACTTCTACTTGCGGGAAGCACACAATTATGTGCGTCTTCATCGTCGTCCGTGTTACTGCTGAATCCAGAATGCTGAACAGTTACTATTGTCGGACCTCCTCGATCAGCCCTCGCGCTCTCGCCCCGGCGCCTGCTGCCATCCCTTTGAAAACGAGACTCGCGCTCGCGCGTGTCGGGGTTGCGCCCAAACGCGCCCCCCAACAACAGTACTCCCGCTCGAGACAATCCTCGCTTTTCACTCAGAACCGGTTCTCTTGCGACGACGTTGACGGCGACTGCGACGCTGACAGCGACGACGCCGTGTCGTGTGCCGAGGCTTTGACCATTTCGTCCCATGCTATGTGCTTCACGGAGGTCGCGGTATGTATAACCTTTCCTCGCCGACGACACTGGCGACTGCGGAGGCGACGACGACGGCAGCCAGGCTGCCCGGCCTGTTCGACCTCTGCCTTTGCGCTGGCGCCGAGCCGTGCGCTGGGTGGTACGAGCTCGGCGGGCTTGACGTCACCGGGCCAGAGCCCCTCGAGCGCGACGCCGAGCTCCTGCCGGGAGCCCCGCCTGACATTGCAGCCGAAGTCACCGTCTCAGATCTCCCACGATATGTTGATTCAAATCCGGGCGTGTTGTTGTTGAATTCTCACTTCAGAAGAATAATTATTGTTGATCCCCACCCGCCGGTGCATACTGCTTTTTCTCCATCAAAGTGTGCCCCTGGACGCTCGCACCCTGTTTTTTGACAGGGAAAGTCTTCCTGCTAAAACTGGGCCCCTGGCCCCCGGGTTACAACAACAACGGCTCCCGCCTGAGACTTCTTACAATTTACCCAGGACCCCCGCTCCCGCCCAAGACTTCCTCGCATTTTATTAAGGAATCGCGCTCTCGCTTGGGACTTCCTTACAATTTATTCAGGAATCGCTCTCCCGCCGCTCTGGAGTTGCGCTCTCGCTGGAGACTTGCTTGCAACTTACTGAAGGATGGCCTTGCGTTGGAATTTCTTGCAATTTGCCCAAGCGCCGCGCTCCCGACACCCAGGCACCCAGGAGTCGCGCCCGTTGTGGCCCCATGTGCATGCCCTTCGTGGCCCCGCTGTCGCCATTTGTGTCCCCCTCACTGTCCTACGTGGCCCAGTTGCTACCCTCAGTGGCCCCATAGTTGCCTTCTGTGGCCCCGCATTATCTGCACTTCGTGGCCCCCGCTCGTTCGCGCTCTCCGTGGCCCCATACGCATTCCCTTCGTGTCCCCGCTGTCGCCCTTCGTGGCCTACTTCGTGCCCTTCGTGGCCCTGCTGTCGTTCTCTCTCGCTCTCGCTTTCGCTTGTCGTCGCCGTCGTCGTCGTCGTCGTCGTCGCCGTCGTCTTCGACGTCGTCGTCGTCGTCGTCGTCGTCGTCGTCGTCGTCGTCGGTCGGTCCCCTGTCCGTCCCTCTTGGGGTCGGGTCGACGGTCCGCGGCCGCCCCGCCGATCAGCGCTGCCGCTGGCCAGGCCGACGGTCCGCGGCCGCCCCGCCGCTTGCCGGGGCCCGGCCTGCAGGGAAGAAAGGTATACCCCCCAAAAGGGGTTCGATCGAAGACGAAGAGGGCGGGTATCGAGGGTTTGGGAAATACGCGTTATTGGACACTCGAGCATATAAGGGCGAACAGTCTCAACATTATTGTTGTTGAACTCTCATTCTTGAAGAATAATTATTGTTGATCCCCCCCACCGGTGCACACTGATTTTTGTCGATTGAAGTGCCACCCCCGGGGCTCGCACCTTGTTTTTTCTCAAGGAAAGTCTTCCTGCTCAAACTGTGCCCCTGCCCCCCGGGCTACAACAACAACGGCTCCCGCCTGAGACTTCCTCGATTTTTACTCAGGACCCCCGCTCCCGCTTTAGATTTCCGCGCAATTTACTCAGGAAACGCGCTCCCGTCTGAGACTTCTTCGCAATGTAGTCAAGACCCCCGCTCCCGCCTGAGACTTCCGTGCAATTTACGTGGGAACGGCGCTCCCGCTTGAGACTTCTTCGAATTTTACTCAGGACCCCCGCTCCTGCTTGACATTTCCGTGCAATTGACTCAGGAACGGCGCTCCCGCCTGAGACTTCTTCGCGATTTAGTAAGGATCCCCGCTCCCGCCTGAGACTTCCGTGCAATTTGCTCAGGAACGGCGCTCCCGCTTGAGACTTCCTCGCAACTTAGTCAGGGCCCCCGCTTCCGCTTGAGATTTCTTCACAATGTACTCAGGACTGCGCTCTCGCGTGCGACGTCCTCACAAATTATTCTGGAATTGCGTTTCGGCGCTCAGGAACCACGCACGCGCCAAGGACGCCTTCACAACGTGGTATCTTCCCTCTTCCTTCGTCCTTCCCCCTCCCCTTCCTCCCACTCTCCCTCGTTCTTCCCCTCCTCCTCTTGCAGGGCCCGCGCCAATTCCAATGGCGGGCAGAGAGATGAACGCCCCCGAAGGATTGTCCGCCCGTTCCGGTTTGCCCGTACGTCTACGCCCGCCGGCCCCAGCAAAGAGAAATAATCCCCCCCGAAAGGAGTGTGATCGAAGACGAAGAGGGCGGGTATCGAGGGTGTAGGGTATACGTGTTGAATGACTCGCGGGCAAGTAAGAGCGTACAGCCTTAAAATGGTTGTTGTTGTTGTTGTTGTTATCATTCTTGTTTTTGCTGTAGCTGCTGATGTAAAGTGTTGTTGTCGCGGATGCTGCTGTTGTTGCTGCTGCTGGTGTTGTTGCTGTTGTTGTTGCTGTTGTTGTTGTTGTTGTTCTTGTTGTTGTTCTCGTTGTTGTTGCAGTTGTTGGTCTTGTCGTTGTGGTTGTTGCTGTTGTTGTCGTTGTTGTTGCTGGTGTTGTGGTTGTGGTTGTGGTTGTTGTTGTTGCTGCTGTTGTTGTTGATGATGATGATGCAGTTGTTGTGGTTGTTGTTATTGCTGTTGAATTTTCACTGGTGATGCATACTTGCTGTTGATCCCCCCAAATGAGGTGCCCCTCCTGGGGCTCGCACCTGGTTGTTTTATCATGGAATGTCTTGGGTTTCAGTTTTTTTGTTTCCTTGTTTACAACAACAGCGGCTCCCTCCTGATACTTCCTCACAGGTTATTGACGAATCGCGCTCTCGCTGGGGACTTCCTTGCAATTTATACAGGAATCGCGCTCTCGCGTGGGACTTCCTTGCAAGGTATTCAGACGCCGCGCCCTCGACACTCAGGAATGACGCGCTCGCCGTGGATTTCCTCACAATTTATTTGGGCAGTGCGCTGTCGCTCGAGACATCCTCGCGGTTCATGCAGGGCGCACGCTTCCTCAACCCGCCTGCTCGACCTGGCCGCCTGGGCCCGCCTTCCCGACCCGCCCGTTAGGGTCTATCCGCTCGATAAGCCCATCTGTTCTGCCACGTGTTTTCTGCTCGTCGCCCCCCTCCTGCTATTTTCTCTCGTGCTCTATCCTCCTCGCTCTCCCTTGTGCCTTCCTTCCATCCGTCCTTTCTTCCCCTGCCCCAGGGGCTGCACGAAATACACGTTGCAGCCAATACAGATACACCCCCAAGGGGGTACGGTCGAAACGAAGAGGGCGGTAATCGAGGGTTCGGGGTATACCTGTTGAATTGCACGCGAGCAGATAAGAGCGAACAGTCTTAAACTGGTTGATGTTGTTGTCGTTGCTGTTGCTGTTGCTGCTGCTGTTACCGTTGTTGTTGCTGTTGTTGTTGTTGTTGTTGTTGTTGTTGTTGTTGTTGTTGTTGTTGTTGTTGTTGTTGCTGCTGCTGCTGTTGTTGTTGTTGTTGTTGTTGTTGTTGTGGTTGTTGTTGTTGTTGTTGCTGCTGCTTGTTGTTGTTGTGTTGCTGTTGTTGCTGTTATTGTTATTGTTGTTGTAATTGCTGCTGTTGCTGTTGTTGTTGCTGTTGTTGTTGCTGTTGTTATTATTGTTGTTGTTACGGTTGTTTCCGATTTTGGCTCATACGGTTCTTTCTTAGGCGCCAGGGCGATCAGCATGTGGTCCCAGGGAGGGGGTTGGTCACTTTGGGCCGCGCATCGATCAAATCATACCGTAAGATGTTTGGGGTAGTTGTCGTGGCCGTCGTATTTCTGTCATCGCCGTCGTCGTGGTGCTCGCACCCGCCGTCATCGTCGTCATCGTCGTCGTCGCGGTAGTGCTGTTCGTCGTCGTCGACGTGATCCTCGCCATCGTCGTCGTCGTCGTCGTCGTCGTGGTCGTCGTGGTCGTCGTGGTCGTCGTTATCGTCGTGGTCGTCGTCGTCGTGGTCGTCGTCGTGGTCGTCGTCGTCGTGGTCGTCGTCGTCGTCGTCGTCGTCGTCGTCGTCGTGGTCGTCGTCGTCGTCGTCGTCGTCGTCGTCGTCGTGGAGAGCTCCTGAGAAGCATTCGGACATCCTCCATGGCGCGCTCGACCTGCTGTCTCCGCACGGGGGCGCCGAGCACTGGGAGGGGATGGGAGGAGCAGGAGGAGGAGGAGGAGGAGGAGGGGGAGGAGGAGGAGGAGGAGGAGGAGGAGGAGGAGGGGGAGCAGGAGGAGGAGGCGGAGGAGGAGGACGAGGAGGAGGAGGAGGAGAAGGAGCAGGAGTGGGAGGAGGAGGAGGAGGAGGAGGAGGAGGAGGAGGAGGAGGAGGAGGAGGAGGAGGAGGAGGAGGAGGGGATGTTATAATGTAACTCTGCGACTGGGTGAGGAGTGCTGTAGCATCTGTTCGCCCCTCTCGGCCAACGGTGCGGTCTGGCTCAAGTGTGATTATTGGAGCTCGCGCCATACCCGAGTACAAAAGCATCACCATTACCATTATATCGTTCCCGTACAATTCCTTCTCATGAATTTGCGTGGTAGCGGAGCGAGATTGATGGCAGCTGGAGCCACAGCGGCAGCGGCACCTGCCCATCCTGGAGACCGGCTCCCGGAGTTAAACACCTTTGCCATAGTCATATCGATTTTCGGGTTCTTATCTGTTCTCTGCTGATGCTGTTGCCTGCTTTGACCCCTCGAACCCCATAATCCTTTGGCTCTGAGGAGGTCCCTTTTAGCTGGTACGCAGACACCATTTACTCATTGCAGCGGGATGGACTCGGAGTAGAGATTCACATCACCGCACAGCGCCAGAGTGTGCGCTGCATTGGCAGCCGAGCCTGTATATTCCGAGCTACCTCGCAGGAGAGCCCGTTCCGCGACAGCAGTAACTTGACTGGGCACTCCCGTGCCAAGTCGGACCCAGAGACGCATTTCACAATGTATCGCACGACGGCTGCCCAGGGGTTTGCTGGAGCCACCGTTTCTCGCGACGATGCCGCACTACAACGACGATACCGGGGACCTCGACGGCCGTATCGCGTACGCCACGGCGCGGACGGAGCTGCAGCATCCGCAGCTGACGACGGCGATGAGGATCCCGAAGAGGATGATTGGCAAGAAGAAGATGCTGAGGAACAGTGGCCCCAAGGAGGCGAGGATGAGGAGGGCAACGACGACATGGAGAACTCGGAGGTCCCTCCGAACTCGGCGGAGGTTCGACGACGCCGTGGTGAGCGCAAAAAGTGGCGAGGTGGACCATGCCCAGCGCCGCCTCCCTTGGAGGCCAGGTTTCAGTTTGTGTACATGCAACTTAGGTGCTATCAGAAGTGTGTTCGGCGAGTTCAGATGTGCAAGGCCCGGGTGAGACACGACAGGCCCTTGGCCGAGCTCGCCGTGGACCTGGCCGACGTCATCACAGGCGAGGGCGCAGATATGATAGAGTCGCTGGAGTGGGCGAGGCTCTCTTCCCTAGACGGCATTGGCCTGATCGTGAGCTCCCTCCCCGTGTTCGACGAGCAGCAGATCCTCCAAGTGGGCGATTTGATGGAAGAATACGAGGAGCGGCTCCCCGCAGTGCTGCTCGCCGCCTGTGTGGCCCACTCCAAGAATTTGGATATGATATTGAAGCAAGCCAAGGGGCCAGCCCAGACAGGACAGTTTCGAGCTTCCAAGTTGCTGCGGAGTGCGTGTTTTCCCCAAAAGGTTCGACGTAACTTGTTGTTGACAACCCGCGGCGCGTATAATTTCGACCGCCCCGTTCAAGCTTTGAGTGTGCAGTGGCTGTCTACGGCGCCGAACTGGGTGGCGCTAGCTCGGAAGGTGGCGCGCAAGAGGCTCGGCGAGGCGGCCGTCCCCCCCCGAGCGTAGACGTGATGCTGGACATCGAGATGACAAAGGAGGCGGCAAAGGTAAGGGCAGAACACCTCGGCGGCCCCCGAAGCCCCCGCGAGTCGGCGAGGCTGACATTGACGACTGAGGCGAGGTCGAGCTCGAGGATGAGAACGACCCGGGCGCAGCTGAGGGGAACGAGACCCAAGTCGACGACAACGACCCGGCCGCGGTGGTGCAAGAGGTGGCCGACGCTTTGACGGGACGCCGCCGCCAAGGACAGGAGACCGCTGTCTGCCATTTCGGCTGCCGACTTCGAGCAGCTTGCTTTCGACGCCACCAACTAGACTGATGGCGGCTCCAGCTTCCAAAACCACCAATGGCGCCGACACCGCAGAGAGGAACGGCGTCGCCTCACACTGGCACTAAATTTTCGTGGCAATACCAGAGGCACTTTCACGGCATTCAGTTCAGGTGGTTCACGGTCGGCTGCTCCGTCGAAGCCAGGGTTTCGCTCCTCTCAGCCGCAGACGAACTGCAGAGACAAGTGCGGCAGATCGCGTGCCATACACGGGGCCGCAGCTGAGTAGGACGAACCCGAGCCAGATGAGTTTGAGGATGAGCATGCTACCCACCATGTGGAGCGCGACGCTCTGGTCACATGCGGGCGAAAGCAGCGAGTGACCGCCTTCAACTGCAGGGTGGCCAGCGGCAGTCGAGAAGGCCCTCGTTCGGTTTCAGCCAGCTCCAGAAGTGAGACGTTTTTCTATTAATTCTTCCGAGCTGCAGGCGGCGATGAAGTGGGCGGACAAAACTCACCAGGTCGACGTCATCTGGAGTGTCTGGGCCCCCCTCGACGTTTGCTTCGTCGAGGGCCCCCAGGGGTTCAGCGTCGTTATCGACGCTGGTTGCCGGCGCTATGTCGTGGGGTGCGAGTGTGTCGGGTAGTTATTGGACCATATCGCCGAGTTTGGTCTCTGTTTTGGGGAGGTTGCCGAAGAAGAAAGATTCCGATTTGCGGTCAGCAAGGCCGCGAGCAAGTCCGTTTTTATCCCCAGATCTGTTTGGGGCATCAAGTCCCTCTCGTTCGTTTGCAGAGCCGCAGCATTAGACGCAAACTCCAAGTCGATTTTTTCTGGGTCCTCATTTACGCGGATGCTCTTGGGCCTCCAGCTGGACACCTTGGGGGAAAGGGCTCACTTCGCCATGTTCAATTTGTGCGATGTGCCCCCGAGGATCGCCCCGAGTGGCCGCCTGTTCCTGAGGGTCGGTTCTTGGTTGAGTGATGTGGGGTCCCCGCAGGGCAGCGAGGCTTGGAATTTCACCCCGTCGGGCGTCATCCTCCCCCGGCCTCCGCGGATCCTCGGAGATCCCGTGCCTGGTTCCGGAGACAGCTTAGCTTGAGCCGGCTCTCAACCCGTGCAGTTTTTGTAGTCGCCCTTTGTGCTCTTGCGTCTACAAGCCGTGGGCTGTCCCGGCCGCGCAAAGTCCTGTCTTCCGCGATCGCGCGCGAGAGCCTGACCTTCTAGGTTCTGTTCGACGGCGCCCTGGGCTATGCGACTGACATTGCGGAAGGTCAAGGGGGAGGCGCAAGAGGATCTCTTGACGAGGAGCGCTCTGGCGATCAACGTGAGGGAGGTGCAGATGGAGCCTATCGCGAACCATGAATCACCTCGCGCACATCGTCGGCCGCGGCCGCGAGCAGATCTGCCTGGACCTCGAGATTCCCAGCCGCATGTTGGGCAAGATCGCGCAGCTCGGCCGCGCGTTGGGCCGCCTGACTCTGATGTTGGACGCGGTGGGGGTTAATCGCGGAGGGATCGTTGCAGGCCCCGGGGGCTGCGCCGCCGCCCTCGCCGACCTCGGCAGCGGACGCGGAGAAGACCTGCGCCGAGCTGTGCAAGATGCGGCGCGGCTGCCTGCGCGAGGACAAGGAGGTGCTGCGCGAGGGGCTGCTGGCTGACGCGTCGCAGCTGAAATCGCCGTTGGAGGTCAGCCAACGAGAAGAGAGTCGTGGGCGACAGCGACGATCCCCTGCGCGTGCCTATCTCGACACGGTCGCAGGGCTCTTACTCGCACTCTCGGCTGGCTGCTTGAACGACGCCAAAATGCCAAGCCAAATCATCAGCGAGCTCCAATCAGGGCAAGGGGTCGGCCTGTGGCCACCCAGCGATGGCGAACCCAGTCGATGGACATTCGGACGGAAGGGGCGAAACGCCCACTGGTGCCCGCAGATGACGAGATGGAGACGTCCGGCGGGGAGGCGACGGACGCTTGGGAGAAGGCGCTGCGGATGAGACGCACGAGCCCAGCTTGGTAAAGAAGGGCGCCTGGAAGCGTCTGCCTGTAACGGCCGAGAAGATTGCCGCCGTCTGCGAGACGCTGGGCCACGTCGCCCGCGATGCCGACAGGAGAGCGGTCGACCGTCGAGATCAAGAGGGGCGCTCTGCCGACGTGGCTTCCTTTGACATTCTGATTTGCGACGGCGCGAACCATCTCGAGGGCGACTGTCAGGTATGTGGCACCGACCTTCTGGATGGATGTGCTGGTGCGGCCCGACCCGCCAATCGGCATTTCAGTCCGAGCTGCGAGCCTCGCCACATGTCGACAGAGAAGACGGCTGGGGCCTGGCTACCACCCAGGGATCGCAGACATTGAAGGACCAGGTCATTCGAGACAAGCTCTTGGTGGTTATGATTGGTTTCCCCTGCGCGTTTTGGTGTTCCTGCGACGCCAGTGTCAACTGCGTGGGCCACCCTGGGCAGCTAGAGAAGGCGCGCCGCGGACCGCCTGCTGATTCTCTTCGTCGGGTGGACCCTCGAGTGCCAGATGAAGCACGATAGTTTCTCTGATCGAGAAGCCGCCCGCCTCGGCGATATGGGAAGATGCCCAGTTCGTCCCGCTCCTGAAATGGGGCCAGACCGCCGTCGGACATGGGTGCCGATATGGCAGAACTGGCAAGAAAGGTTTACCGATGCGCAACGCCAGCTGCTGTTTCGCCAACGCGCCGCAGCTGCTGGCTGCGCCGAGTCGCAGCTGCCCAGGACTTCGGCCGGAGTCCGGAAGCCATCGCCGCGACCGGATATGGAATTCCAAGTGGGCGAGGGCGAGCGGCGAGTACACCGACGAGATGTCCCACGGGACGCCCTGCGCTATTCTAGAGATGGCTGCCCAGAGGCAGCCAAGCTGGTTCGCGGATCTCCCAGTGGCTGCTACTGAGTTGGGGGCGGCCCGCTGCTGCGAGGGGCCCATCGACGTGCTGTTCGCGGCCTCGTTCAAGGACGCGTCGAAGAGGGGCGAAGTCGTGCAGGGCGTGCGACAGGTCATCCGAGGAGCCGAGAAACGGCGTCCTGGCGACCCAATACTAGTCGAAATCCTCGACGCTCTGGCAGCAGATCAGCCAGCTCGTGCCGTAGGACCTGACGATCATCCACCGCGAAGCAGAGGAGGTTTCCCATGAACAAGGAAACGTGGTTTCACCGCGGACACTGCTACGTGGACGGCCAAGGACAGTTCTACGTCGAAGCCGAGGACCTCAGCGATGTTGCCTTCCCCACTCTGCCGCTGGCTCCACCCGCTGAGCTGGCTATCTTTTTGTTCGGCTACGCCCTGCAGGAGTCGATCCCGCAGCAGGCGAACCTATCACAGCTGGAGGAGCGCATGACGCCCCCTCCGGATCCGAACGACCCGACTCTGCCGAACAACAGTCCGCCCGCTCACGTTTTTGACGACTTGGAGGATGTGTGTCTTGGGGGTCACCAAGGAGCAGTGTCCTCGGGAAGTTCGTCGGCTCGTAGCTCGCATGCGTTGCAATCTTGGACACCCAGTGCCCAGCGAGTTCTTCCACTTCTTGTCGCAGAGAGGAAGGGTAGGCGGAGGAAGGGGAGGGAGCCAAAGAGGACGGCGCCGCCGCCGCCGCCGCCCCCGACGACGACGACGACGACGACGACGACCACCACCTTCTTTGCTTCTGCCCCGGGCGCCGAAGTGCGCTGGTGGCCACGGCGGCGACGGCGGTGACGGCGAGGGTTCGCGTGGCGGCCTTCTGCGCTCCCGGCAGGAGCCCCGCTGTCCCTGGTGCTCTCCGGGCGGGGCCTGGGCGCCTCCTGCCTCCGCCGCTGCCGCCGCCGCCGCTGGCCTCCAGGCCGCCCAGGTGGTGTCGCAGCGGGCGGGGTCGGCGGGTCGCGCCGCATCGCCCACGCATCGGCGATGAGGGCCGACGTGGAGCCCGACTCTCCCTTCAGCGATGTCGCCGATGCATCGCCGACGCATCGCCGACGCATCGCCGATGCATCGGCGATGCGGCGCGATCCTTCGACCCCATTCGCCCAGATCCGATTTTGGGAGGCCTCCGTGGTCGCTTCGGAGGGGCACGATGACGTACAGCACGTCGTTTGGTCGGCCCAGAAGCCATGGAGTTTGGCGAAGGAGCTCGGCGTACAGGCGCTCCAGCATCACATCGTTTTTGGGCAGCGTGGGCGTTGATAGCGTTGATATACAGTGGAGACCCATGCCAAGAAGCACCTTGCTCTCCTCCAGGGTGCCCAGGGCTCCTTGGGTTTTTCGATGGCTCTGCTGTGGAGGGCGTAACGCTCCCACACCGAAGATCGATGGACGCCCTCGGGTTTCAGGGCTGGGTTTCCTATGGAAGGTTTCTTGTGGACTTTCCTCCGCTGTACACCGAGATCCTCGGCTGGCCGTGCCGAGTTGGCGTGCACTTTCGAGCCGCTCCCAGTCACCGTCGCCGTGGCCGTCGCCACCGCCACCGCCGCGGGCCGTCGTCGCGGCAGGTTCTCGGATATCTTCCGCGGTCTCCTGGTGCGGGTGCCGCGGCTAGATTTTTTTTCTGATGTCTCCGGCGGCTCGCGGGGATTTTTGCCCGCCCCGTGGGGTTTCTGGAGGCCGTCGTCTTCGTCGTCGTCGTCGTCGTCGTCGTCGTCGTCGTCGTCGTCGTCGTCGTCGTCGTCGTGGTCGTCGTCGTCGTCGTCGTCCTTCGCCGCCTTTTCCTTTGCCTTTCCCTCCTCTTCCTCCTGCTCTGGCTCCCAGTGCTGCTCTTCCTTCTCCTGCGCTGGCTCCTCCGCCTGCTCCCGCTTTCGCCTCCTCCTGCTGCCGCTTGCTTCCCTTTCTTCCTCCTCCTCCTTCTCCTCCTCGCTGCGAGGTCAGTCACTGTGTTGGTCGAGTTGCCGACGATGATCTTGATGCCCGTCAACACGAGGCGCTTGGAAAATGGTTTCCACAGTTCTCCGCAAAGCCCTTCACGCTTGGCGCGCCGGCGCCATTCTTGGCACAGGGGGACGTTACTGGCTGCATATGCTGCTCTCGATCGGGCTGCCGCCAGTGCCTTGCGCTCATCGCTGAGGGAGGCGTGGGTGGTGTCGGTAGCCACGGAGAAGTCGTTCATGTCGTTGATGTTGACGGTGCCCTCCACGATCTTCAGGTGGAGCCTGCCGATGTCGGTGTTCTTGGTCAGGGTCTTCGCGAGCGGGACGTTCTGATACCAAACGGTTCTGGCGATGCTGCGCAAGGTCATGGCTCGGACCTCGCGAGATACCGAGGCAGACTGTGACTGCAACTCGGCGGCAGGAATCTTGGTGAGCGTGTCACGTGCTCGGGCAGCGGCAATCTGCATGGGTGCCTTGAGGGTGCGCCACTTCGCGATGGGCGTGAGCACAGCCATGTCGATGCTGGCAAGAATCTTTTTGATGTGGTGCTGGTAGTGCGCTGTGTCGAAGATGTACGCAGGTATGCCAAGCTCGGTGGCAGGTTTGGGCTTGCGCAGGCGGATGCGCAAGTGCATGATCTTGTGGTCGCTGATGGGACCCTTGGTGTTCTCGAGCGGCGAGTCGTCGGCGACATAGATTGTCTCTATGAGGTGCATGAGGTGGCTCGGGATGTTGATGAATCAGCGGCCGATCGTCGATTCATTCATGTTGGTTTGGGATCTGTGTGTCGTGGACGGGGTAGCAATTTCGATCATGTCGCGGAACAAGATGCGCCAGAAGACAGGCTGGTACTTGTAGCGCTGCGCGGCTGTGGTGTCGGTGTCCACGGGGGTGTTATTGGACTTCGGCGGGAACTCGGAGACGTTGAAGTCACCCACTATGAGGAGGAGACGGTGCTGTGGTAGTTCGTCAGCATGAAGCCGGAGTGCATGCCACTGGTCGCGGAGATGAAGCCGATCGGCTGGAGTGAAGCCGAAATTGTGGATGTTGAGGACGGTGGGTTCAAACTGGAGTCTGGCATCCGTGACTCGCAGCCAAGCGGCGCGGCCAGGGATGACGAGTTCGAACCTGGCGCGAGGGCGGAGTTCTGGCGGAAGTTGCTGTTCTTTCTTGTCGAACGGAACCAGGAAGCCGACGCCGCTAGCGTTGGTGACAGGCGTGCCGTCGACGATCATCGGGGAGTAGTACGGCTTGTATTTGTGCTGCGTGGAGTTGGCCAGGAGGGTGAAATCGTCCAAAGTGCCATGCGTTTATTGTGCTGCAGTGAGAGCGCGCTGCCGGAAGTATGGAAGAAGTAGTCGACGTTGATCAGCACGACGTTGATCATAATGACCAAGTAAAGCTTGAGTGTTCCAGAAAACGATGGTGAGGCTCTCTTGCGAGGGCGTGAGGAGCCACGGGCTCCACCGGTGGCTAAAGCCACTGTGCTGCAGAGAGCGCGTCTGCGAAGTTGGACTCGAACTCGGACTGGGTCCTCCGTTGTAGGGAGTCGTTGAAGCCTCGGTCGATCGCAGCGTGGGACCGCGGGAGCTTAGTGTGCACGTCAGCGTTGCCACCAAGAAGAAGGCGCCCCAATGCTTCACCGCGGTTTGCCACGAAACCCAATGTTCGGTGTGGACGTTGGTCGAGTTCGGGCTTTGCATTTTGCATGATCCTGGCGAGTCGCTTGACCCAGACCTCTGTGCGTACAGCTTTCGGGCTTTTGTCGGCAGATACATGAGAGGAACGTGCGAACCATTAGCCGCATTGAGAGAAAAGGCCCTCCACTCTTTCTCATGGCGCAGAGCACTGTGGAGGCGCTGTGCTCGAGGCTCCGCAACCGCAGTTCCGCCGCTGACTTGAAACGAGTGGCGCTTGGCGGGGCCGACTGTGTTGAAAATGACAACGTTCTTGTTGATCTCGGCTTTCTCGAACCAGTCTGCGAGGGCGCGCTCGAGCTCGGGCTGGCTGAACTCCTGCGGGCTGTTGCGCCAGAGCGCGGTGGGGTCAGGGTCGCGGTCCCAAGTGCCCAGTCCGTCCAGGTTGAGTGCAGGTGCTCTGGCTTCGGCAGGTGTGACGATGGTTTCCAGCTTGTCGACGGCGGCTTTGAGGTCGGCGTTATGCTGCTCGAGGATGTTGGTGCGCTCATTGGCTGCGGTGATAGATCGTTCTGTAGTTTCGTGACGTTTGCTGCGCTCTGCGGTGATCTGCGTGAGATTAGCGAAGGATTCTTTGCTAGCTTGGGCAGTGGTGGCTCCGGCGGTGGCTCCGAGCTTGTCGGAGGCGTCTATAATCTGTTCGGTCATGGTCTCCTCGGGCTGCTGTCGAACATGGGCGGGTAGGTCGTGCGCCGCAAGCTTCGCTGCATCGTGCCAGGGGTCCTGCTGTCGTTTGCCACCGTTTGACCGCAGGCTGCTGATGGCGCTGGCGCGGCTGCAAGTGATGTTGCTGGCGTTCCCGCGGGGGCGAGCGGAGGCCCGCGCCAGCCTCGGTCGATCGCGCGCGAAGGTTGCCGCGGGCGAACGCAGGGCCGAATGTGGCGCTCAACCGGCAGGGCAGCTTGGGGGCGCCGGATTGAAAGCGGGCCCTTAGCTGTCACTGGACCAAGGGTCTCGGTGCTCTGCCGTGGGGCGGAATCATCTCGGGCCAAGAATTGCTGCGGCCATTATGCGGCACTGGGCCCCAGTATTTGCAGAGTAGCACGTGGGCGTCAAGCGCCTCGCCGAGCACCTCGTCTCCATCTTCGCTCGGCGCCGACCTGCCGACCTCCCGCTGCCTGGCGCGCGGTCGCTCGAGAAAGCCGCCGGGCTTGCTGGAGATTCCGCGCCGGGCCCAGACGCTCTTTCACAGAGGGCGCGGCTACGCGCGCCAGACAGCTTCGACGTTCTGGCCGACGTTTGCAATGACATCGCCGCCGGTGACAACATTCTGCACGACCTCAAATCTCTCTCATGGCAATGCTGCCGAAAGGCGACGGGCCGAGTGGCGGCGCAGAGTGCGCGCGCGCTCCAGATTGCCTTCGTCCGCTATCAACCAAGAGCTCGCAGGTGAAGTTGCCGGCGCCGGCCGCCGGCCGCCAGCTTCGCGCCCTCGCCGCCCAGGCGTCTCACGAGCAGCAGGGCTTCGTCAACGGCCGCCAGCTTTGGAGCAACGTTGTCGTGGTGGACGTAGCCGCTAGGCAACTCAGCCCATCGCCTTCAGCATCGACAGATATGCCCGTCTTCGTCAGCATGGGCATCGCGGCCGCCTTCCCGGAGTCTCGGCCATTAGTGGACGTGGAACGCCCTCTCGCCCTGGGGCGTCCGCGGCAACCTGGTGCGCCTTATCCAGGCCTCTGCTATCACTGGCCCGTCTCGTTCCTGGGCATGGGAGGAGAGCGACGCCCGCTGCTCATCGCAGCATCGGGCGTGGCTCAAGGCTGCCCCCTGAGTGGCGCCATCTGGGCCCTCGTCTTCGACCCTATCATCGCCGCCATCAGCGCCGAGCTCGGGGCCGCGGAGCGCGGCCTCGTCAGCGCCTGCGCCGACGACCTAGGCATCGTCCTCGCCGGACTCCATGACGTCAGTGCGATCGCCCCGCGCGCGATCGCCGCCGAGACGCTTGCTGGCCTCCATCGTCAAGCCAAGAAGTGTATCGTCGTGCATACCTGGACGCTGCCAACCCTAGTCATCATCGCCGAGATGCGCCGCGTGCTCGCTGCTGCTCGCGCCCCCTGGTTCCATTTTTCAGATCGAGTCCAAGGCCCGCTACCTCGGATTCTTCGTCGGCCCTGGTGCCTCACTTGCTGTCCGACGGCGTGGGCCCGCAGTGAAATGGCGGGGCCGCGTCGAGAAGCTCGCCGCACCGCGTGCCCCAGTCCAGCAAATCATCGAGCTCTACAGCGTCGCCGCCGTCACAT